ATAGTTAATATACTGATATCAAAGTGACATTATGCACATCTAGTTGTAAATGGTAAGGGCATTATGAATAAAAGTTCAGATAAAAAATATTTGATGCCATAGTCAGATAGATCTATAATATTATCAAGATTATTATTAAAATCCATATAAAATATCAACTGAAGCAGGATTCTGTTTTAATGAAAATACAATGTCATATTTAGTTGTTGATGAACCATTCTGGCTTGATGCTTCTTTATTATTTTTTCCTTTTTATTCTTAAGTGATTAGTGATTAAACTGTGAATATAATAAAATTTTCAATAATTTCAGCTGGAATTAATTCAATTAGTGTGCATTATAAATGACAACTAATTTTCGCCACAGAAAAACGCATGTCATTTTAGACACAAAATGCTATCAAATATTAAAGCACTTGAAAAGCAAGAGCACTGCATTTCCCTGCTTATATTCCATTGTGTATAATATTTACATTTGTTAACAAATTGCCTCAAAACATATAACGAGCATGAAGTCATTATATGATGGAAAAACACAGCTGTTTATTTATGTACGATAAACCACAGAAAACCTGCATACACTTGGCATTTTCCATTGCACCCATATAACTCCCATAAACCACTGGATTTTATAGTGCTGTTTAGAATATTACATAAACAATGTAGAAATATAAAACTGCTATGGATACCTACAACCGTCCCATAGTAACATAACCAGCGGTATTTCACTGCCACCGCTGTTGCGTCCGAACATTCGGAAAAACCAGTCCAAAGTCCACTTGAACGTTTCCTTAACGTGTTACTCTGAGACATTTTTTTCTATCAAGCTAATATTCCAACATAACTATAATTGAAACCATTATGACCTTCATGTTTACACGCAGAATTCTTAGCAACACAGTTTCACACAGTCTGTTTCAAATTTCCCAAGATGTAATGTATAAATCAGAATTTACTTATTGCAGACTGTATCCCAGACTTTTATTACGTTCATTCACAATGACATTAACATCAAATTCGACCAGTCCTAAAATTATTATCAGGCACTATAATCCTGTTATTAATAGCATATAATTCCCAGGCACTTGTACAACACAATTTCCAGATGTGAAAAATAATGTTTTTCAGCTCTAGTTAGACAAATTACACTTTTTTCTAGAGATCAGACGTTTTTTCGGCTCTCGGCTCGGTTCACTCATGGAAATATGCATAACAACATCCTCGGGGTATAGACTGACAGGAGAAACTCGTATATATATATAATTATGTGAGCAATGTTTTTTTAAGATAGGTATGTGATTGGGGTAAAAGTTTCGCTGATGATTACATAGATAGAGCTATAAATAGATATCAGAAGATACTTAGACAACTTTTGAAACTGGTTCAAGATTCTTACGTCCTATCTGATTCATTCAACGTTTTTCATTTTTTTGTCTAGATGTTTATTTATAATAAGAATAACAGACAAGAGTCTACACCTGTATAATTACATCTGTGTATGCCATATAAAATCTTAATTACACATTCTTCAGGCAGATTTAACACAGATACAACACATTTTTGTATCAGTTTATTTAATCTTTTTTTTTAACCACCAATTTAGTAAAATGGACTAGTCCTTCTTTCATTTTAAGAAGAAATCATACTAATTAATCATAACAAATTTCAGGTATTTCATGATTAACTGACTTACTGAGGAGTAAACAGTGAAAAGTAGGGTTTGACCAATCCACACAGACATGATCTGTAGGCTGGCTTGACCCTTTACTGAGTGGCATAGTCTGTTTTTCCAGCGTCATCATTCTTATTATGCAAGAGGACCAAAAATTCAAATGTTTTAACACTTGTATCTAAAATCTGGCTAGAATAGCATAAAAAAAATTTCAATTTAATCTTTTTTTATATTTCTTTAAAATTTATATATTTTGTTCACTGAGCTTCTTAAAGTCATTATCACATACCTTTGGCTTTACATAAACTGAATTTCTTATATGGACTTTTCCAGCTTCCATACATTTGAACCTCAGGTCAGCTGACATTTAAGGGCCTTGTCAGGCTACAGACTGGTCAAGGCCCCGGCTCTCTAATGGGGGAAAAATGCTAATCACTTTTGGTTCTATCAGGTGAACGATTGATATCAACATATTGAAATGAAAATTTATGATACAATCAATCAATAAATAAATTATCAAATCACTTCAGATCTTTCAATTTCTTATATGAAAGCCTGTATTTAACTTTGAAAATTCAAACATGAATTGATTAAATTCAGGTGCTCTGTGTTGGTAGACTATGTCACTTCGGGTTATTTGATATGAGTATAATCTGGTACAAAGTGACATGTCAGAAATTTATATGTATATATAACACAGTGGCTGAATCATACCCTAGAAATTGGCGGAATTAGGTAACCTAACACATTAAAAATAAATCAACATGGTGTCACTTGGTTCAATAATTTCTCAATAAATCATAATTTCTTTTTCTACCTATCATCCTGCTAACACAGATCTAGACTAATTCATTAACTTGTAAGGAGTACATAAATAGGTCAGAAAATAATATTCACATTTAACTATAAAATTGTGGTCCTTTAAGGTAACTGTTACTCATTTTTTATCTTCTTTTTGTTAAACTGTCAATAAAGCATCTGAAACACTATATTGATCCATATTTATTCATATAATTGTTTCATTTATAACATAAATATTTGTTTCTACATGTTATAAGTCTTTTGCCGATAAATGCCAAACGTATTTCGCGCATTTAACGCGTGTTCTGTTATGACGTTGTTTCTGGTAAATTTTATTATATTATGGACTGATAAAGGCATTATAGCTAGCCGAAACATTTGCATTTAGTAATTTACTAAATGTTCCTGTCTGTGCAAATTGTTTGTTTATAAGTAAAAATATACAAATATCGTATCTTTTCAGTTGATGATAATGTCATACCAGCAATAACTTCTTTTTTTTCAAACCTATGGTTTAGCCTGAAGGCTTGACTTTACAAATGTTCTCGGCAAAGGCTGTTACAAATAGTGGATAACTTTAAGAAAATGACAGATTTCAGCGTCCCATTTCACAAATACAACAGGTGTGAGTACTTTGAAGTGGGCATTTTATTGTAAAATCACCCACATTATAAAAAGAAGCTGTAGTATTTAATACCATTAAAGGTATACAGGACTACTGATCAACAAAATAATAAAACAATACACAAAGAGCCTCCGATAAATTTTCAAACATCTAAACAAAGAAAAATAAACAGAAAACAATACATTAAAACTATAAAACATTTGCAAGAAAACAACCCTGAAACAGACTAGAAATTTTCTGTTTCATTAGATCATGAATAGAGGTATATAACACAACAAATTTCATAATGTCCCGAAACCGTTTCGAACAGTTACCCAATTATTGTAAGTGACATTTCGCAAGGATTTTTTTTGCAATTTCTAAATTGTTACATGGTAAATGTCTCGTACATTCATATACACGCTACATCAAATATGCTTCGTTCTTCTTGACAGATACATGTTGTTTACAAGTTTGCGATAATTCCACGCTGCTATAATTAAGTCGCATTAATTAATATCAATTTATAATAAGTAATTTTCTTTGTATTATGTCTATTTTCTCTTTGTTTCAAATGAATTGGTATAGATCTACATAATATTATAATATTATTAAATCATAATCTATCGTCTGGTATATTTCCTTGACAGTTTTGTCCATAAAATGATTTTAATGGGAAATCTAGGATGTGTATGCTTACTGTAATACACATAGTTTTACAACTGAAAGTCTGACAGTGCCTAAACAAAATGCATTACCTCCCCTTATTGTCGAATTCAAATCACTGATTTTTAGTACGAGGTCATTTAACGAGCCATTTTCTTAAAATCAAAAGATATACAATGTACTGTAATCAATTCATAATTGTGATCTACAGTAAGTTATATAATTGTTATTAACCATTAACACTGTATTGTGCATTTGTACCCATGTTTAAAATATAAATCATACTGTATGAAGGCCAACTTGTTAAGTGCCAAAATACATTTTTTTCCGTTGATAAATTGAAATTTCGAAATAGTAAAAAGAATTTGTTAAACTGAATTATTTAAAAATTACATGTCAAACATTCTATAGTACAGTGTGTTAACTTTTTGACCTAATCCTTTGACACACTAGTTTTATGTATATTGGCGTACTTCTACATCTATGTGTATCAGTCCCAGTTACTTTAATAAATCTATTGCTCAAACAAAATTGATTATATTCATTGACAAAAGGTTTTAGTGCCTATTTATGATACCAGTGACATAACATAGTGACATCACTATTCCTGTTTAAACATTTACGAGGGTTCGTAACAAAACTGTGCAAAATGTCATGTTCCAGTTACAATTCTTACACTGAAAACTAACTTTAATTGGTTACAAAACCTGCATTTGATTTCTCATATCTACCTTACAATGTTATTCTAAACCTAGCTTTTTCTGGCCAGTGAAACATTAAAATTGACTTTTGTGGTTGAAATTCGATAGTTTCAGGGCAAAATCAGATAATTTATGAGTAATTTCAGTAAATACATTTCAAGTTAAATATCTGAAATGTAAAAACACAAGGGGTACTTTAGTCCAGAGTTACATTCTGTCAAACCTATTGAATCACACTTTAGAAATTGATTTTTGTTAAATTGTATTTGAAATTTGAAAAAAAAAATCATTTAATTAATAATTCTATAAAACGCATCCTTTTTTTAATACATGTCTGTGCACCAAATTTTGTTTTCTATGAAAACCTAGAAAACCTCTTCCACATGAAGAATTTTAATACAAATACATGCACATAATCTGGTAAAAATTGTGATTTTGCTGACATTAAAAGCCATTAGACAATGAACAGGCTGTCTGATCTTCCACATAAAATATCAAAAGTTAAACAAACACAAGTAAATCCAAACAAGGCAAATTTGCAACTTCTAAAGAACCCACCTTATATCCATACATATTATCATACACAAGCGGATTGCCCTTCGCTGCGAGATGATGAAACTGCAAGTAATCTATTTCCATGCTTGATCGCTTGCCTAGCGGTAATTTTGGGGATCGAAGTGGCTCCGTAATCTCCACAACTGTTAGCTGTGGAGCATTTAAAGATCCTAAACTTAAACTCCGACTCTTGGGATGCAGGTCGCCTCTTCCCGTTGAAGATTTTCTACGATATTTTTTTGTGAGTTTCGGTTCTCCACTCTCCCCTACGACTGTGTACTTGTCAGTGACCTTATATTTACTCATAATGTTTGACGAATTTATCTCTTAAAAGGTAATCTTGAAGCAGTTAGATAAGTCAATTGCTAAATTCCAAATTACATTAATAAACATACTATGAGATAGCCACATAAGCCCATTACTTAGCAATGTTGAATGATGTGGTGTCAACAGTCCAAAATGTAAACATTGAAAGGTCAAAAATTTGCAAATAAATACCAGAGGAAACAATAGATGTCCCAGACTAACAAGAGAAATGGCCTCTATATAAAACGTGAGTATAATTTAATTCCTATTATTTTTCAAAATTATGAAAGTTAAATTAATTGTATATCTTTTTATAGATGAATATATTTAACTATAAAACAGATTAAGATACTGAAATATGTTGATCTCACTAAAAATCCAAAAATTGAATGAAAGCACACAAAAATCAACTTTTTGCTTTATGTTGTTGTTGTTGTTTTCTTCTGTCTCATGTAATATCCAGGTCTCCAAAGTAAATTTTCACAATGCAGAAAATTATGCATAAAAGTAAAATGGCAGGAAACTAACAAACACTAGAAAATAGCTCCGACAGATTTTCTGTTGTTTTTTTAAAACCTAAAATGTCAGATTTAAGTAACACATTTCCTTGTCAATGAAAGCACATTATTTGTATGAAATGTTCTTCAAACATTAAGTTTATTTTACTTTATTTCTTCACACAACATAAAATAATCACAAGCTCCATAAAGAGATCAACAATTAACAGTCAATTAAAGAATAAAATTAGCACAAAATAGCCATTTTTTTTTCACTAAAACTTTCCAAACAAATATTTTTCTTCACCTTTCAAATATGGTGGAAGTGAACAGTAAACACCCGGAAATCACTAAAATTAATTGATGAAATTTGGGCCTAAGGGCCTTAATCAATGCATGATCAATGTATACAGTAGGACAGCTTTGCTTACATTAGTGACCCCAGGTGTAATGAACAAAACGCATGTCAAATTGAGGCGAACCATGCATCAAGGATAATTTATACTATCATTTTTTTGTAAAAAGTGATTATTATCTGTAAGTGCATTTTCAGGTAAGCTGTGAATTGTACATGTTTTTTACCTGCTTGTTGTTGATATTTTTATATAATAAGACTTTTCTTTCTTATAAATGTCAACAAACGCTCGAAAATGTCAACAACAAAAATTGTTCGTCCTGTGTCTTTTTGTAATACTACAAAAATCACTAACATGTTTTAATAGTGATTAATATCAAACCATGTATGTTATAATAAATATCAGTTGAAGATGTTAAAGTCAGGCTAAACAATGAAAGGTTAGAAATATTTAACTAAATTTCATAAAATACAATTTACTGTTCATTGCTAAAATTAAATTGTAATGTTCAGCATAAGTTTATGTAAACAAATATTTTCAAATGGTGAAAACAGGTGCAGGACATTTGGAAAATTCTTGATGAAATGATATATATACTTTAAATCTTTTAGAAAGTTCTTGATTAAATATGTTTTTCAAAGAATGGAAAGAATGGATATGAGACGGGAATCCAGGTAATATAGAGATGCATGGATTGACTGGCATCTACATGTATATTTATCTGATCTGCAGGTGACTTTCCTGGTGAAATTATTACAGGTAAAATTTCTTAAATATAAATCTGCAAATTTCAAAATTTAGATAATCATCTCAAAGTGCATTCTTGCTCGTGGTTTAGATTAAACTGTCTTATCATGAATATATACTTTTATACAATTATTAAATTCAATTATCAAAATGGAAAGTATTGACAACTTGAGATTGTAAACACAATTTAGTAAAAGAATTAACAACAACATATTTATCTATGCCGAACTTCAAAGACTAAAGTAGGTTGGGGTTTGGGACCAATTTTATAGTCTTTAGTTGGTCATAGCAAATTTATGGAAACAAATTACCAATCAAAACAGCTGAAAACTAGACCTGTATCCAAATGACACTCATGACCCAGCAGTTGGTAAATATCAGGGGTTTCTTATCTGAGGCAAAAGAAAACAACCGATTTGGCCAAGGGTCATCAATGGTATTTTAATATACAGGCTCAAAATGCAACAGATTTTAACAGCAATCTATTAATATTGTAAACATAATAAATATCTTGTTCAAAGTGTTCTAAGGCATTGCTATCATGTATTATTGAATTTGAACCAAATATGAATGAAAATGATTAAAGTAATCACACTAATTAAGTTATTTATTTGAAATGCACTAAGGTCAAGCCCATGCTGAGACATTTACATTTGCTATTAACCTTTTCCCTGATACAGCCCCCTTAATTTACTGCTTTACACCCCATAATACAGTAGCCAGATAGATAATCATTAATCAATATCCTACTGATAAGGAGTCACACACTATCTCCATATAGGGTATTATAAATTATAGGTAAAAATTGGTCAAATTAGATACCTATATACTTTAACTGGAAAATAAAGTATTAAGTTGTGTTTTGACAATTTTTGTATCAATAAAAAGTTTGTAGAGAATTGAAATACCTTTCCAATGGTATAAATATCATATTTTTTGGGTTTATACAAATATGTCTACATGAGTTATAAAGTAATAAACTATATACTTGATGGTGTTTTTTTCTCCATTGTTTCAGATAAATTAGGCTACTTATGTGTTTTAACTAATGTGAAATGGTTTAATTACAAGTTTGACAATATATATGTCAATGTAAGATTTGTAGAGATTTGAATTATCTTTCCAGTGGTATAAATTTTATATTTGTGGGCTTTATAACAGTATAATTACAGTAGTTATAAACAATAAAATGATGTAGAATCTATAATTTTTCTCTCATTAGGGAAATATGGCTAATTTATTATTAATTTTTTTGGTTTATGCAGCACTCATTTTTAGTGAAATAAATAACAACAAGTTCTTTTTTTACCTTTTTTTATACCAGTAAAAAGAAATCTCACTTTTTTTTTTTTTTATTTATTTTATCAGGTTTTTTTTATAATTTATTTCATAATAGTAACTGTCATTTCTGTAATACATGTATATAACTGTTGAATGAAATATTTCAGAATTTCTGCTGTCATGGTCATATATTTTCTTCATGAATTATTAATTTAATTAAATTTTATCATTTATCGATCTAATTTAGATCAAATGATGATAAAGGAAAGACATCCTCGAGTTCCACGGCCTTTTAGGCATTTTCATGTTGCGACATCAAAGATGATATATGGGATATGATTTTATCATGTCGTATAATACACGGCCCCATGCTGTGTCTGTTATGAAAACAATAGCGCACATGAAAGAATTTAAACTATTAAACATTTCTTTGTCGGTCATTTTCTTAAAAAAATCGCCGCTGCTACCGGAAATATTTTATTGCAGGGGCCAGAGAGATACCCCTAGTCAGGACGTTAATTAATCCGTGTATATACACATGTCGGCTATCATAAACCAAAACAAACATCAAATCCATTATACCATGCCTGGCACGTGAACGACCCGTGATCATATAAATACTATTTATTCATTAGATGCTATTTTTAGACACTTTTGTTCCTGTCTTACGATACGTTCTATATTTATTTCATTGACCCGCGCACTCATTAACTGCGTGACGTAAGGAAAACCCCTCACCTGGTTGGTCGCTAATTATACAAAAACTTTAAATAGTAACACCATAATTTTATGCACGGAATCCCCTCATGAAATGTTGATCTTTACGATAACACAATTTACACGTCTATTTTCCGGGAAAATTGTTGATTTTTGGACAGGTAAATATTGAAGTCTGCGAAAGTCGCTTCTATTGAGATCATGCATGTCGGCGATTCTCGCTTACATGCGGTAATCGATAAAGCCGTCGATTCTCGCTTCTATCAGGGAATGGTAAAAGACGGCGATTCTCGCTTCTATAAGGGAAAAGGTTAAGGCATCCACCTTGCACTAAACAGACCCCTACTAATGCTGGTTATGTAAAGCAATGATTGTTGAAATCCAATCATATATGTTTAAGTTACAAAACTGCTTTAAAGAGTATACTAAATTAACTAATTTGAGTATTACAACAGTGAAATCTCCCACTGTAACCCTGACCTATGACCTATTGACACGCATTTTGCATTCATGAGTCATAACTCATATTGTGAACTTATAGCTAGAAATTTATGCATGAACTGCACTTAAAGACTATAATTATTATGACAACAGTAATAAAATCAACTTCTTGCAGTGACCTTGACCTAAGATCCTGGGTCTAGCATGGTACACAATGTCTTATAATGACCATATGAACCAAATTCTTTTACAAATTTTATTATTCATGATGTTGTGAAAGTTATGAATTGTACATAACACTAAACTACATTTGAGAAAATATGAGCAAAGTACTCAGTTTAATTCCCTTTAAAGTTCTATCATTCTATGACTATGACCTTTGGACCTTTTTACATATGGTGATCATGTGTGCCAGTTAATGTTGAAATCTCATCATGCATGCAGAAAGTTTGATTCAAGTTCAGTTGAGGCTGCACAGTTTTCAAACCCTGTAACATTTGGTGCCCAACGGAGGCCAGTTCAGAGTTTAATTCACATTGCTGATTGCTCTGTTACCCTCAGCAAGTCTAAGATAAAATTTAATATAGCAAGGAGTATGTCATGGTTAAGAACTGTTCACTATTTAGGGGAGAAAGATATGTAAGCGGTCTGATAGCTCAGTCAGTAGAACTACGGAACTGTTTCTATGGGTTCTCACCCTGGGACAGGGGAATGATTGATTAAGTTAAACTTTAATGGAAGATGATATGTATGCCAAATATCCAAATTGCTCTAGGCAATATATTTTCTAAGAGAAAAGTTTGGAAGTTTTCATCTTTAAAAGCTCCTGTGACCAATTTTTGCATCAAACTAGAATAATTTACATAACTTTCATAGAGGGACACTCAAGATCCATTCCTCTGAAATTTGGTCAAAACATATCATCAATTTCAAATCTTGAAGACATTGTGCTCAGGTGAGTAAAAATGAAAACAATTCTGAAACAAAAGTCAAAGCTGTCATTGCTTCTAGTCAGAAGTTCAGAGACAAAGACATTTGACTGCACTCCGCTGATCAAACAAAGATTCACTTTTATATTAAGTCACTGACTTTTGTCTGTAAATTGCGTGACAATTACTGTAATTAATAAAAAAATATTTGTTTAATTGTAAACAATGATTACAACTCAGAGTACAATTTTATCCCTGTTTAATATAACCAACCATGCCAATAGAATTTAAAAGTGTGGAGTACCCCAAGTTACTGTAGTTTCAGGTTAAGCATGTCAAGCTGACCAAGATTCAGTTGTGCATTTAACAGCGTTTCTTAGCAAATGCTCCTGCCTAACTGCTACAATTTTTTTTTCGAAATCAGTCTTTATGAATAGATTGATTTTAATGCATAAATGATAATTAATAATAAGTTGTTCAACAGCAATATTTCGGGCCCGCAATATTTATTTATGTCAACTCCACAGAATTTAAGATACTCAAACTTATAAAAGAAAGATGAACCATATATGCAAAATCTGAGATACAGACTGGTTTGCATAGCCCTGTTATAAAAAGAACATACAATGCCATGGGCATGCTTTACTGTATGTCTATGGGGGAACTAGGGAACTGTTTTAGAAATTTGACATCTCTTCCTGTTTCCGGTTCGTCAATTTCTGAAGTAAATATAACATTTTTACAATATTTGAGAGTGATATGGACCTTGATAATACTTACCCATAAATCTATTCCCCAACTCATTTCTGCATGTAAGACAATATCAATGTTTAACAGATGAATCACATGTTACAAATCCAATAACGAGCTAATTACACCAAAATCATTATTACAAATCCATCATGGCGATGAAATCTCGTAAATGACAGTCTCGCTAAACGCGATTGTCAATTTGATTTATTTTTACTATATTTATTATTTTGATTTTCGATATATTATCATTAAACTATATCTGCCTCTCAAATGTAGTATATGTATATCATATTTTCGAAATAATAAAACTGATAAAAAATATTAACTTACATTTCGTACTCAATATAATTCGCTACCTGGAAAAGAATGCCGTTCTACACAAATCTATGCATGACCAAATCACTTACCAATTTAACTGGTCCAATATAACTGACTTTCTATATATTTCACATACCATTTTTATGGGTTTTTTTGTGGGGTTTTTTTGTGTGTTTTATTTTTTAAGCATTTATTCATTTAATTTGCAATTATATATCCTATCTAAATGACATTTCATTTTTTAAAGATATTTTTGGAGTTATATGTAATACGCTACATGTACTTGTAAATGCTTTAAAATTAAAAGAAATGCCAAGTGCTTTCATTTTGTTTCATGCTCTCGAGAAATAAACCTGATGAAATACTGTTTAATAGCTGATGCTTATAATTGTTATAATTTTATATCGTAACATTATCCTTTATTTCATTTTCACAGATGGGATTTGATAATCGAATAATGAGATGAGATGACAATTTAATACTGTTTACAATGTATTGCCCGTCTGACGATGTCGACTTAGCCGCTAATTTAAGTCACTTAGAAGCCATACATTCATTGCCGGGTCTGTGCTGTTGTCTTAACCAAAGTCATGTTAACAATTGTAAGTTATTTTCAATGCGCATAAATCAAGCGTTGCATTTTCGCATGTTCCTAAATAAAAAAACCTGTTAAACCCAGCACAAAAGGAACCACCAGACAACATCTGCATATAAGCTGGCTTTGCCACAATATTCTGTACCTCCAAAAGAGCCTTCTTTCCCCAATTTCAGCTGGGCGAAAATTTATATTTTAAAAATCTTCATTGTTTTTATACATTTATTCTTTCTTTTAAAACTTGAAAGTGGACTTGAAATGGCAAACTAGCTAGTATGTCAATGAATTGTTCTATTATTGCACTGCAAGATATAAAATTTTAAAGTTGATTCAATGATTTCTATTGGTCCTTATCTTGATCCGGTTGTTATGATAATTTGTATTGTTATTCAGAAATTTTATCCCAAAGTAAATTTTGTTGTTACTGCTGTTTTCTGCATATTAGCATCTTTTTTACATGTCGTATCTTTATTTCATCTTTATATGATCAAGTTTCATCACAATCCCTTTTTCTTGCTATTAAATTGCCCTTTAACAAGTCACATTTTCCCAATACATTGTAACTTAATATTAGTAGTATAAATTTATGTAAAGGAGGATATATAATTGTAGTTATTCAATTGTGAAAATTGGCAATTGAGGATATGCCTATGATTTCTTATATCTTTATTTAGTGTTGCAAGTAATTCTTCACTTATTAAATCACATGCATGTCTATTTATTAATCAATGAATTGGATATTTGATACCAACATTTTAATTTAAAACTGATATTTATAATATTCGTTTATTTATCATTTCAGATGCCAAAATCAAAGAGACGTACTGGTTAAGGCTGAGTAAAGAATATAAAAATAATTTTCGGAATATTCCAGCTGTCTTTCGAACTTCGATCTTTATTCCTGTGTCGGGGAATGAATTAGAACAATAAATTAAGGCCACGAAGATTTTGGGAGGAAAAAAAACGTCAAGCTGTAAACAGAAAGGACAAACTCTCAGGACGAAAAAAAGTTGGGGCAGTTGTCTTTTAAATTTAAATCTTTTCCTCCGTAGGGTAAGAGCAGGAAAAATATTTATAAATTGTTAATGCTGGAGCTATATGTAGTCTTCCCTGAGTCTTCCCTGATGTTTTACAGAGATTTTAATAATTAATTTTACATGTATAATTATCTTGTAAATGAGGGATATGTCGGAAAAATGAAAACGGAGATTCAATGAGTAATATCCACTGAATACGCACTGATTTTTTCTTTGAAAACCATCGATCTTCTCTTTCTTTGCCATCAGCATCATTTTATTCATAGATGAGCTTCAGAGCTTTTCCCCCATCGATAACAACGAAAAGCAGCCATATGACCAAAACGCTAAACTTAACTTGTGTTGTTGTTGTAGCTGAACAATGCACGAAAGGATAAGTGAGGTCTTCCTCATGTAAAAATTGTACTTGGATTTCGCTTTACGACTTTAACCTATGTCGCAGTGACGCTGTTGCTGAATAGCAAATCCCCTATCATTATGATCAACCCATATACTTCATCGTTGCGCACTGTCTATAATTATGTCGTTGTCACCATCACCATTGCCATCGTCGCCATAGTCAAAATAATATTCATCATCAATTGTGCCTTAGACAAGGAACCATATACAATGTATCTTTTTTAAGAAATATTTCCATATTTCAGGTTGTGGAGAAACAGCATCACCCGCTTATCATTCCTTGATGTCAAATCTTAGATAACACGACGAATGACGCGGAGAAAGCAGCTAGAACATTGCAGTTGCCGCCAGCAGATATCAAAGTACAGCCAATACGGAGTTGTCAGAAAAGAAGGTACACACATTTTCTCCTAAAATTCATTCATTCTACCTTTTAATCTTATAACTCTTAGTTAAATGAGGGTAAAGATATTTTATATTGATAAACTTATTTTTAATTTACTGGTTGTGGTTATAATTGTACATGAATGTTCTCCTGTATCATTTACCCTCTGTTTTGTCTTTACAAGAACAAACCGCGTCATGACAAAACCAACATAATGCGTTTGCGACCAGCATGGACCCAGACCACGCGCAGTCTGATCAGGATCCATGCTGTTCGCTTACCAACCCTATTACAAGTAGAGAAACTGATAGCGAACAACATGGATCCTGATCAGACTGCGCGGTTTTATGGGAATCAATATGCAATCCAGTTATATTGCGGCATTCGTGGGACCTCCATGGCCGAGTAAATAACGTTGCTGACGTCCAATCATTTGTCCACGTTTACTATATTATATTTCCGTTAAGTACTATATATATGTTCGAATCCTCCCAGGATCATGTGTGTCTTCTGTCTTCTTGTTTTGCCCTAGGAAGCTTACTATTAAAGGAAGATCGATCGATGGCTATTGTGTTTGAAATAATGCATATCGGCATCAGAGATCTTCCTCAACCAGGAAAGCTGGACTGTCACCACATGACCTTTATGTAAATGGTGTCCATGTGTGACCAAGCACAGACCCGTTAAAAAGTTGATAATAATACACTGTAATACATGTGGTAATAATAGGGCATTTTTAAAAGCTCACTTCCGAATCAGGCAGGCTAATTTTCATATTTCAAATTAGAAGTATACGTTTATTGTTCACGTGTGTTAAATAATAGAGAAAGTCTATGTTATAACTCTTTTGATAATCGATGATAAGATTATAGAAATAACATAAATTTTTCCCTTTATCCATTTTAGAAAAAAATAATTAGGCATAACTTGATACCATTTATTAGGTTTGAGTTTTAGAAAACTGTCATGTTTAACCGGACAACATTTTTTTTCTCTTCGGCACAGGCTTTCTGGAAAAAATGAAAGTTCATAACCGCGGCTGCTGACATTGCGATGGAATATTTCGTTTTCTTATTGAACTGAAGGACGCATCACAGATATTTTCTTTGATTTTATTTTGTTGCATATGCCATTAATGAAATTGCTTAAACAGGATTTTTCAGGAATAAAATTACCAAATTGGTTTCTCCTGTGTTTATTACAGAAATATTATTAATCTTATACATTTTGTATTCGATAGTGCATTATAATAGCATATCAATATAATACTTTAAATTAGTATCTTCATATTACAATTAATGTAAATAAATGCTCTGAGAAAATAATAACAACATATAACGTAATACAGTGTTTTCAATATCATTTTTCCTCCCAATCCGTGTGACCTCCCCATGATGCTTCTTTAAAATAGAATTAGAAAAGTCCAAAGCAAAAGGATTTTTAGTAAAAAGAAGTATTAAATCATATAGCATGGAAAATGAATTAAGAAAAAAAAATTAGTTATCTGTCTTACCAATTTTAAGCTTATCGCATTTAAAACAAAGGTGCTAGTCGCATTGACTTGACCTAAAATATGTTTAATCTTGTTATTCATGCAATATAATATTGATTTATTAAAATTAAAATTAAAAAAAAAATAATCTAGTCAAAAAAAAAATATGATTTTTGTTATATGTACACATGCATTATATTGCATGAATAAAGATAAATAACAAGATTTTAGAACTAGCACCTTTGATTTAGAATGGTTGCTAACGATCTTTCATTGGGTCACTTTGTATCATGTTAACAATCGCATAATTATATGGATATAATTAAATGTCAAACGTGTTTGTCTCCTTATTTGTGATAACGTGGGTCAACTGGCTCATGCGTTGTTCTTTTATCATTGCTTGCCATCCATTACAGAGTAAATTTATAAAAGTACTACACAATGTAACAAACAAATAACAGCAACTTAATTATTTCTTCTTTTTCTTCTTCCCTCCTTTCTTTTTCCCGCCTTTCTTTTTTCCACCTTTACCTTTCTTTCCGCCTTTTTTGCCTTTCTTTCCCTTTTTGCCTTTCTTTGGTGCGGCCCCTTCCGGCAAAGCATAATCTGGAATTTCCGGTACGTCTGGAATTTCTTCAAGTTCAGGCATATCTCCCCGTGCAGCGTCATTAATCAGGTTCCATAACTCTGATTCATGCGTGACAAAGTCAATAGGAGTTAATCCAGAACTAGTTGTTGCGTCAAATTTAGCACCATTCAAAATAAGATGTTTACAAACTTCTAAATGCTTTCCTGAAATGGATTCATTTGTTAGAGATTGAGCACGAATGAACATTACAGCGATTAAGCACATCCTTTAATTTTTGAAACATTCAAACACATAAGATATATGGCAAATCTTTGTGAAAAATCACAAGCATCTGTCCTGATATAGCCGTACAGTAGAAGATAACAAGATATTTGTATATTTTTGTGATTTTTTTCAACACAAATATTTCATGACGAAGAAATAAAGGTAAAATGTGACATTTGAAAAACATGTAGAATAAAGAAATTCTAAAAAACAATAAATACCTTTGGCGGCCAAATGTAAGGGTGTGACTAGACCGGATTGTTTGACATTTGCATCGGCCCCGGCTTCAAGTAACATTCTGACAACTTCTGCATGTCCCCCTGCAATAAACGGAATCACAGTTTGTAGTGTCCTACACATAGAAGCAGCGTGTCTTTAAATGTTGGTGACCCTGGGTATAGCTTTGTTACCACTCTACTAGTGTTAACAAGGACTATCACATGATGTCGTTTTTGATCATTTGGAAAAGCGGTTGGGCGAAGACAGACACCAATATAATTGTATATATACTACGTAGTACGCTATATAAATATCTTTCTTAGTCTGCTAGCGGCTACAGAATCTACTGGTGCGACCCGTATAGGGCAATCAACAGGCACGGATCTAATTATGATCTACACTGTTCATTTTTTTTCTGTACATATTTTGAAATCTTCCCTAAATTTGATGAATGGTTTAACTGAAAGAAGTCCATATAAAATAATTATTTAGCGGTGAAAGTGTTTAAAATATACCAACGGATATGACATGGATTATTTCGTAATCCAAGGTATCCATTTTGTACAAGTTCTAAATATCGTTCAACCCTCCAATGTAACAGTGTTCATATGAAAAATATTACAACACAACCAGTTATACCGATCGATGTCGTATTATATTAAAGCAATCTCTTCTGTGTTTTATAACCAACTTAGCAAAAACGGTACTGTACATCTACCAAAAATAACAATAAATAACATTTAAATCATAGGTGTTCGGCGCGTTGATTATTCACTACCCCAACCCACTAAATAAAAAAAAGATACATATATATTTACTATAAATACATATGTATCATTTTTTGTGGGAAATGAATGAAATTGAATTAAAAGCATATACCAAATATTAAAACATGTTTCAAATGAAAAATACTGCAGTTTACATGGTTTTGAGAGGTAGGAGGCTTGTAGAGCGGGTGGGGTGGTGGGTAGCGACAAATCAACGTGCAGAACACCTATGATTTAAATGAGGTTAAGAAACATAATCTTGTGAAAAATACTTAAAATTCTAAATATCAGAGACTTCTATAACAGATAAAAATATAAGATTATAGATTTTGATTAAAAAGCTCATGTAAATATTGATACTTAAAAAGTCGTAAATTCAAAACCATTCTAAGAATTAAACTACTTCAGATTTTAGCGAAAATCACGTGGTGAAAAAAACTAGTAAAAATCAGCAAAATTTTGACGTGTGACCACTCTGGAGTCACTGTCACCTCTGGAGTCACTGTCACCGGAATATTGCAGTATAATTAACCTTATAATACTGCACGTTTGTAACGTCGCTTTTCATTGGATAATCGTGACGTTTATATAGTTTTATATACACGGCTGTTGTCTAGCCTAATTAATTTGGCGTGAACGGTTTGACCCATTTTACAGACTTTTTTTTCTTACTGTCAAACCGTTACGCCTAATTTTAACTGTCATTTTTACGCACGGAAAATCTACCGGTAACACTATCGATAGTTTGGACTGATTTTTACTGCTTAAACCTGAAAGTAACTTCAATTACCTCTAAAGATCAATAGAATATAAATTTTAGTACAAACTTCTCCTAGAAAAAATAGTAGATTGTACCTGTCTTAACGCATACATGCGATTTATTTCAAATTTGTACTGTCTACTATATCTTAGGCGGACATGTTATGACGTCATCGTAAAAAATCGATTCCGTGAAAGCTGGTAGTAGCTACCAGTGTGTCTAGCAGGTAAGTGTGGGTTACGCATGAAGATTAAATTAAACGAAATATCGGGGGAAATAAATCTATTCATAATTTTTTAATAAATATGTGCATTATCAAATACTATTGAAAAGTATCATTGTATTTAACCTAAAATGCAATGGTCGCAAATAGGCTCTGTACAAGTACTGTCGTTTAATATTTTTTAAATATTTTAATCCATATACTCAACATTTATCAATTGGTGGTTTGCCTTCTTGTTTACTGCTAATGACTGCCAAATGTCACTCTCGGATAAAATACTGACTTCATTTATACATGCATATTTATATGATAATTAAGAACGTAAAAGAAATATTGAAGGAAACTATTTGAAATACACTTCAAATTATTCAGTATTTGTACAAATAATATTTCAAGAGCTCTTTTTCACCGATTGCCGATATATAATACCAAATTAAACCTATTGATAAAGTTAAATGTCTTCTTGACGTACTTTATTAATTTACTAAAAAGGAATTTTATTGTGATCCAGCCATATGCTGTGTAACTAACTATTAAGGAAGGGTCACATATTTTAATTGAAATAAATTTTAAGTAGAGGATATTAAAAAAAAGGTCATTGAGAAGATCAGAATTTTCAAATGAACAGATTAAGAGACTTATAAATGTATAAGGTGTATGTCTTGTTGTTTCATACTGTTTTGGTGACACTTTTGTTTGTGTCCCTTGTTGTTTTCTCGTCTATGGTAAGTTTCTCCCTTTGCCCCTAGTTTTATTTCGCCCCCTCCCCCGAATTTCCTATCCCCTTCCCCTGTGCTCGTTAACTTAGTGGTCCTATTAATCATTCATTTATTAATTTTCTTTGATTTCCTTCTCAAGTACATTTTAGTGATAAGCCTGCCCGTGCTCTCTCTTGCGCCCTCTCCCGTTTTAATTTAGGATCCTCCTGGGCTCCTTGCCAATGGTTCATGTTCCTGGGTCGTGTGGGGTTTGCGTTCATTGAACGCCGCCTTTCCTTGTTCACCTTGTTTATCATATTGTATACATGTATACCGAACCGTAACAAACAGATAATGATTATCAATACAAGGTTCGGCAAGCAAGCAGAAAAATGTAAAGAAACAGAAAAAACTTATCCACATTCATGTATCCACCCTCCAAAAAACCCCACCAAAAACGCCTGAAACTGCAAAATAGAAACATAAATACACAGGAGTGCCAAAAAGACAGCGCCCGTCCAAAATTATCTCGGTGTCTCTTTGACAAGTCTAATAAGTTGGACTAGGCTGTTGTCGATTCATGAAGATATCTTACTTTTTTTCTCTAAAAAATGATGTTTGCTGTATTATAAATTCGTTATAAAGATTGTTGATAGGTTATATGACCGTATATAAACGGCTGTTTGCAATATAACCCTCGCCTAGCGGCTCGGGTTATATTTACAAACAACCGTATATATAGGGCCATATAACCTGTCAACAATCTTTATAACTAGTAATATTTTGCGAAGAGGTAACAGATCCTTATGACTGAATATAATACAATAACTCAAACTTTAAAAACTTACCTGCGCTTGCTTTTGACAATGCACTTCTTCCCAAGTCATCTCTTGTGTTGGGAGACACCTTTAGGCGTAAAATTTTGTTAACGGAAGAAATATCGCCCTTTTCACATGCTTGGAGGAACTTGTTTTCAATATCTTTTCCAATAAACGTTTTATTGATGTAAATTAAAGACATTTTCTATGAGAGAAAACAAATTATCGAGTTTGACATTTACGTTGTCAGGTTATTGTTTACGTTTTGTTAAAATTATCTATCTCCCAAAAGAAGAGTATTGAAATGAAGGGACATAACTACTGATTAAAGTTAGGGTTGCATACCGCTAATTTTCCGACAATGTACCGATAAGGGTTGCATATCGCTAATTTTCCGACACTTATCAGAAATGTTTGCCATTTATCTTTTATAAAAGCAATTAAACTCGGCTGCAATTTCAGAGCATTTAATACAATAAAAACTCAAAAATAGGACTGGCCTTAAAGAAAGGCTTTAAAGATAGTTTTTGCACTACAGGATGTTGTGGGAAAGTGTAAACCGATAGGTCCACATACAGCACAAGAAATTCACATTTGACATTTTTATACAACGTTTAAATATCAATTGTTTGTTCAATACAATGACAACACACCTATATTGGACAAGGAGGTAGGTGAGTCTGATATAAGTTTAAAAGCTGTTTATATTTAAGAGTCCAATAGAGTCAGTATCCTACTAAACAATGTAAAATGACCTCTTCATTTCTTACCACCATTTTTTTTATATTTGAACTTTGAAAATAAAAACAAGGCCATATGGGGCTTGGTATGCGTTCGATATATATATTTTGAACTCTGGAAATGAAATCTAGGTTCTAGTTATAAGATTGGATACAATTAATGATTTCTGTTGGAACTTCATATGGTGAAGGAAAATGCTGGAAGTTAATTGGTTACAATTTTTAAAGTGTAAAGCAAATTTTACTATCTCAACAAAAAACATACAAGTAAAAACGGAGCATTCAATAGTATTTATCAATTTTATTTTTTAAGTTCCATATAAAAGTTAATTTTGAATAACAGTATTACAGAATACAATGGTAAAGACATGTGTCAATACAATTTAAAAATTAAACATTCTTATAGTAGTGTGATTGATACGACAGAAGATATAGATGCAGAGTATAGGAACGTATTTAAAGCTACAAGTGTTTAAAGAAGGTAGAGTACACAAGCTAGTATGGAGACAGTTAGGAGTACAAGCTATAGGTAATTCTGCTGAAGTGTTGGTCGGTATAAAGCCGAGTCTGGTCACCCTGCACAAATGTTCAGGTTGTCCAACCCGACTGTATACTCGTGACACAGGTCTATACTTATCACTTGTATTTATAAATGGTTACATTTACCTTAATAGGTAAATGAAATGAAAATAAAAACAATAAACATTCTATCTTGCTATTTTTCAGTTTTTAAGACCTGAAATTTCTATCTGGTATTTCTATTATTTTTTTTCTTTTCATTTTCATTCAAAAGTCTTTCCTATAAAACATCTTGTCACTTACCGTAAATACGAACAATTTATTTCCATCTAGCATGATTACATTAAAAAAGATACTTACAATCTAAAATAGATAAAAAAGTAAACAATGAAAGTGATAGGCGAGAAAAGAAACACAAGAAGAGAGAAAACATTGACACAACATTCAGTCCTGTTTTATCAAACTTTGACTAAAGAAGTAATAAAAATCTACATACAATTTTTAAAAAACATTGCAGATTAAAAAATATTTTACCTGAATGAAAAAACATGTACATTCATTAATTTCATTCATAACATCAAAGTGCTTTTTTTATTACAAACATATGAGTTGGCAGGAAATTTCTTAAGTTATTCACAAACTATTTTCTTTACTGTATATAAATACCATGCCAGAATAACAAATGATTTTAGTCCAATGACATGGTTTCTCAACCAAGCCAAAAATTCACATTATATTCACAACAAATTTATTAGATTAATTACTAAAAGTTGATTTTTGTTTTAGAAAATTAGTGTGCCAGCTATCCAGACAGTAAATTATTATTCAGCTTACAGCACTTATCTATAGGTTTTGCTTAGGAGTCCATTCAAAAGTCTTTCCTATAAATTTTAAATTAATTATACAAAAATTGATTTGAAGTCAGTCTATAAGCTACTTCTAAAGAACTTCAAATAAACATATATAAAATAGAAAAACCCAAACAATTCCTAAACACAGATATTTTACCCTTCAGACTGTGATTATTTTCCCCATATGTAAACAACAGTCAAGGAGTAAATCTACAGATCTATGTGTTGTGGAAGTAAGAAAATTTGATGACCTAAGTTTTAAATAATGACTAATATACGGTGCGGGTCTTGCTGATTAAACTGAGCATTTTATTGCTAAACCTGTAATAAAAAGCACCAGCACTGCTCATCTTGTGTTTGGTTTAATTCCAAGATTTCCCAGAACAAAGTTAATCGCTTTAAGCGGGTTTTCAATGTCATTCATCTTGTCCTTATGAAGGGCCCAGTCTGGATTGATTTTATGTTTCTTCACCGGGGCACTGATTAAAAATGTAGCGTTGAGCGAGCTAGCGTTCATTCGTGCACGTGTTACTCTTTGGTTCTCCTCCAGTTTGTGTTTACGTGCAGTAAGAGACTGTATACTTGTTAGTTTCTCCACAAGCTTCTTGTCCGCAAGGATGCTCTGATAATAAAAAATGAGTTCATAAAATAAAATGAAGAGCCAAATATATTGTATCACATCAATGTATAATCTATTAAATACATGTACAATTTCATCTGGTTATGCTGTGTTTTGATTAAAAATACACAAACACTCACACACAAACCTCACAAATTGTTTTCTGGTTTTTATATACAGATATTATACACAAAAATCACCAACTTTTTCTTAATAGGTAGTTTATTATATAGTTGTAAGACCTGATATTTCCCAACCTAAAATTAATGTAATCAAGAACTTTCTGAAAAGTCAGTTGATTTCACTTTTCTTATAACTTTCATATGAAAAAACATGGTTGTGACCCGAGTTGGACTCATACCCCACAATCCATGGGATGGAAGGCCACCACAGACTTCTTTTTAAAAAATATAGTCAAACCTGAGAACAAAGGTCATCCATGAAGAGACTGAACATGGTCTCTATAGACAAGTGGTCTTTATTTGGAGGTTGTCCAGTTCTATTCAATCAATTAAGGGTTGGCGATGAGTGGCCTTTATTTACAAGGTGATCTTTATTCACAGGTGGTCTTAAACATCAGTTTAACTGCACATATTTTTTCATTAATCACACACCTTTAAGAATATGCATTCTGAAGATTATGTTATCAAATACAAGCATTTTTTTTTTTAAATAATATATTTCAAATCAATTATCAGTACTGTATACATGTACATGTAATAATTAACATACTGTTTTACAAGGCGTGTCCAGGGCTAGAATACCAAGGAGGGTACAGATTTTGTTAAAGACAGGCGGTTTCTCTCTGTAGATCTGCATCAAGTTCACAAGTATGTCAACACCTTTCTCTGCCTCGTACACTGCTCCCCGCGTCTTTTCATACTGTAAATATTATCACAATCATTATTTTTAATTGACTAAGTGAATAACTTCCTTTCTATAACACTCTAATAATTGTGAAAAACTTAAACTATATACATGGCTGTTAAAATATAAAGACAAGAGCACCACATTAATACCCTAAATGCTCCTCTGTTAAAATAACCATTTTTGAAAAAATTTAAGTTTAAAGAGGCAGAACCCCAAAAATATAGCTTTCAGAATTATGCCTCTTGCCTAGAAACTGCACATGTCAAAATGTAAGTGTACCAAGTTTCAGATTGATAACTTTTAACATGTTTGAATAATGAGCTATTGTGAAAACAAAGAAATTGATTTTTTTTTTACAAAGATTAAGTACTTAGGATCTACTTAAAATCTGCAAATGATAGTACAGAAATAAATTGAAAATCAATAGTTATTGCAATTCTTAGCCCGATTTGAGATGCAACACTTTTCATTTTGGGTCCTTTTGCACAATAAGAATGATACTTTTGGAAAAACCAGGTCAGGTAATGATCTGAAAATTTGCACACAAGTTATTGGTTCAGATCTACATCAAATGGCGCACTAATCTCAGAAAATCATTTCCAGTCCCGTAATGTCAAAAAACCTCAGTGTAGTCCCTTTAACAAAAAGAAGGTATAAATTACCTTGGCGAGATTTGTAAGAATGCTGATCGTGCACTTTATAATATCCATATGAGGCAGACTTCTGTTACAGCTCTCTACTAGTCTATACAACACGGGTATAGCCTCAACCATACGCTCACAACATATCCATGATAAACGACTTGCCACATCTGCAGAATGATAGAATAACATCGTATAACAACATTATTATCTGGATGGAAAAGAACCAGATGATGTCAAAAATTAGCCACATCCTGAACTTTGACCTTGAAGAATAAGGTGACACAGGTGTCAAGGTCATATTTCAATATGCAAAAGAAAGGTTAGAAATATGCAAAACTAAACATTGTAAACAAATGTAATGTAATTTTGTTCTGAATATTTTACAAATTTTGTAAATTTGATTTAAGAACTGACTTTTTCTTCAGCAAAAAATTCTCTTTAAGTTTGTTTTGTTTCAATGAATAAATTTAATGAACTCCAAGAAAAGCTTCTTAAACAGATTAAACTTGCTCAATTAGTTGAATAGTAATAGCTTTTACAGAATAAACCACCAGATCATATTGTATTTTGAACAACTAAAATTGGGAATTTCTAACACTTTTGTCAAGTGGGAAAAGACCTTTAATCGATAGGCCTCTATTTTTTAGGTAAGACACTACAGTAAGATAGATATACCTAAATGCTGGAGAGCGTCCATCACTTGAGATAACAATTTATATCGGAGGAGGAAGTCAAGTGCCGATGATGTTCTGTTACCAAGCTTCTTCTCCTCTGTAACCGAGGCAGCCGTCTCCTGGACACGTTTCCGTAGCAACGTCAGCCTCCTACTTTTGATAGTCTTTCGTTTGTAGTACCCTCTCCATAAAGACTGAATAAGAATTTTTAAGAAAAAATAATATCAGATATTTGTATTCTGATAGGTTATTAATAACCTCATGAAAAAGGTCCATTTTAAAGGGAGGTATATCCAACACTTGCTGACAAAATAAGTTTCCAGTTAAAAAACAACAAACCTTCAAATGAATGGCTTGATGTGCAGCTTAAGATTAACTTAAAAGACTGACTTGCAAGCAATTGAATTTGAAATGATAACAAAACAGCGACTAAAATCAGATACAAGAAGCGCCGCAATGCGACGAAAACCAGGTTTTCAACGACCAAGTTTTGATGTGACAGCAATCAATAGGTCAAAGTGCTCTGAAGTTAATAAGTAGATATTGAAAATTCTATTGTAAGCAAATTACCTTGACCTTGCTCCCAGATATATAAGTGGCAATCCAAAGCTGCCACTCAGCAAGTTCGGTGTCAAAAGGTCAAAGCAAACTCAAGTTATAACATGAAAACTAAATGCATTAACCTTGATCACAGACACCTGGGTAGCAATCCCAAGCTGCCTCTTGATATAAGCTACCCATTCATCAAGTTTGGTGTCAATAGGCCAAAGCAAACTCAAGTTATTGAGCAGAAACTGAATTTCTATTTTTAGTAACAGTGACCTTGACCTTGATCACAGACACCTGGGTAGCAATCCCAAGCTGCCTCTTGATATGACCTATCCATACACCAAGTTTGGTGTCAATAGGCCAAAGCAATCTCAAGTTATTGAGCGGAAACTGAATTTCTATTTTTAGTAACAGTGACCTTGACCTTGATCACAGACACCTGGGTAGCAATCCCAAGCTGCCTCTTGATATAACCTATCCATACACCAAGTTTGGTGTCAATAGGCCAAAGCAAACTAGAACTATCAATAAATGTGATTAATACCCCCACAATACTGCTTCGGAAATGAGGATGTTACTAGTAACAGAATATCTTTTAAAAGAATTGAAATATAGAGTTATGGTTGTGGGCAATTAAAGATAGTTGTGGTTCTTGTATATTGCATTTCCTTTCAATGTGGTTGGCCATTGATGAAGTTTTATTGAATTACTCTGTAATAAGTCCAGAAAGACAAAGAAAAGGAACAAAGGGCAATAACTCTATAAATACTGAAGATGGAGTTATAGTTCTTGTGCACTGCACTTCCTCTTATTGTGCTTGACCATTGTATGAAGTTGTTTTGAATTTCAACCAGTACGTTTAAAGTTATGCTCCAGACAAGGAAAAGTATCAAAGGGCAGTAACTCTGTATTTTGTCGAAATGGAGTTATGGCTCTTATGCACTGCACTTCCTTTTAATGTCCTTGACAACTGTATGAAGTTGTATTGAATTCCAAACAGTAGTTTTCAAGTTATGCTCTGGACAAAGAAAAGTAACAAAGGGCAATAACTCTGTAATTTGTCAAGATGGAGTTATGGTTCTTGTGCACTGCACTTCCTCTCAATGTGCTTGACCATTGTATGAAGTTATATTGAATTCCAACCATTAGTCTTCAAGTTATGCTCCGGACAAAAAAAAGCAATGGAAAAGTAACAAAGGGCAATAACTCTGTAATTAGTCAAGATGGAGTTATGGTTCTTGTGCACTGCACTTCCTCTCAATGTGCTTGACCATTGTATGAAGCTATAATGAATTCCAACAATTAGTCTTCAAGTTATACTCCGGACAAAAGAAAGCAATGGAAAAGTAACAAAGGGCAATAACTCTGTAATTACTTTAGATACAGTTATGGTTCTTATGCACTGCACTTCCCCTTACTGTGTTTGACAATTGTATGAAGTTGTTTTGAATTCCAACCAGTAATTTTCAAGTTATGCCCCGGACAAGGAAAAGTAACAAAGGGCAATAACTCTGTAATTAGTCAAAATAGAGTTATGGTTCTTGTGCACTGCACTTCCTCTCAATGTGCTTGACCATTGTATGTAGTTATATTGAATTCCAACCATTAGTCTTCAAGTTATGGTCCGCACAAAAGAAAGCAATGGAAAAGTAACAAAGGGCAATAACTCTGTAATTACTTTAGATAGAGTTATGGTTCTTGTGCACTGCACTTCCCCTTATTGTGTTTGACAATTGTATGAAGTTGTTTTGAATTCCAACCAGTAGTGTTCAAGTTTTGCCCCGGACAAGGAAAAGTAACAAAGGGCAGTAACTCTGTAATTAGTCAAAATAGAGTTATGGTTCTTGTGCACTGCACTTCCTCTCAATGTGCTTGACCATTGTATGTAGTTATATTGAATTCCAACCATTAGTCTTCAAGTTATGGTCCGGACAAAAGAAAGCAATGGAAAAGTAACAAAGGGCAATAACTCTGTAATTACTTTAGATAGAGTTATGGTTCTTGTGCACTGCACTTCCCCTTATTGTGTTTGACAATTGTATGAAGTTGTTTTGAATTCCCACCAGTAGTTTTCAAGTTATGCCCCGGACAAGGAAAAGTAACAAAGGGCAATAACTCTGTAATTAGTCAAGATAGAGTTATGGTTCTTGTGCACTGCACTTCCTCTCAATGTGCTTGACCATTGTATGTAGTTATATTGAATTCCAACCATTAGTCTTCAAGTTATGGTCCGGACAAGGAAAATGCAACGGACGTCTGGACCGACCGACCGACCACTGGGTGACTCCTATATACCCCCCCAAACTTCGTTTTTGGGGGTATAACAAGTTATTGAGCGGAAACTGAATTTCTATTTTTAGTAACAGTGACCTTGACCTTGATCACAGACACCTGGGTAGCAATCCCAAGCTGCCTCTTGATATAACCTATCCATACACCAAGTTTGGTGTCAATAGGCCAAAGCAAACTCAAGTTATTGAGCGGAAACTGAATTTCTATTTTTAGTAACAGTGACCTTGACCTTGATCACAGACACCTGGGTAGCAATCCCAAGCTGCCTCTTGATATAAGCTACCTACACACCTAGTTTGGTGTCAATAGGCCAAAGCAAACTAAAGTTATTGAGTGGAAACCAAAAGTTGACGCCCGCCCGTCCGCCGACTTCGGCATTACAATAACCCGGTTTTCGTTGAAAACCTGGTTAAAAAACTGTACCTGGATTTTGACTGCTGCCCTATTTTGTTTTCTTGTCACGGCATCCCCTAGCCAATGTCTTGCTGCCCTCTGTATCACTCTAGCAGCCCTGTCACGTCTAGCAAGCCAGGTTCGAATATGTGACTGTATACGAATAACAAACTTTCTCTCTCGAAGGTAATGAAGTCTCTGTAATTTACTCCTCATCCAGCGCTAAAAATAGAAATGATCCGACTCAATTCTACATAAAATAATTAGATAGTCTGGACTTACTCTTATCCATTATGAAATTTATTTGAAAAAAAAAAATTCCTGTAATTCATGGACGAAATAACACACTGGTAAGTCACAATGACAAGAACATTTAGTACAGTAAAGGGTTAATTCCTATTAAATTATTTAAGGAGTAAATGCACTAAGGTGACGATTTTTAGAAAGAGTATCATTTTCCTTTGTTGAAGGGAACAGTGAAGTTAGGCAAAATAATTACTAGATTTTCAACCCAAAATTTACATTTTGTTCAAGTAAGACACACTTTATATTGGAAAAATTAATGTACTAAAGTTATAATATATAACTGGTCAACACCATTGCCACAAAACTTTAGAGCGTTAATTAAAAAATCTTTACCACAGTCTTTCAGTCTGAGATTCTATACCTATGGCTACTTGATTTTTATATTTTGATATTGAAATCTCTTTAACTTTATCAACAGACTGTTCCTAAACCAAAGCATCAAAAATGTATTATACAAAGTCAGCAAAGAAAGACCAGAGTAATGCATTACCTGTATTAAAAGAATGCTGTGGAGTCTTTCCTTAGCAACTTTCATGATTTTGTAATTCTTATAGCAACGCTGAATAACCATGGCAGCCATATTTGCTCTCATAACTTCTGTGACCCGAGTCAAATACATCTGTCTATGCTTTAGTTTTTCTTCTTTCAGGGCCGTCAATTGTCTTCTTGCCTGTAGAGCTCGGAATCCGGATTGTAATGTAACAGCGGCATTGAGCAGACGTCTCTCGTTCTTCAAATTTTGTAGAACTTTCTTTGCTCTCCAGACTCTCACTGCAGACTGTATTGTAACAGATGCTGATTTCATCTGATCATACTTCCGTTGACATTTCAAGGCTCGGAAACCGGACTGTATTTTAATAGTAGATTCTTTTAGCTTGAGATAAGACTGCCTCTCCCGTTGCCCACAACACTTGGCCCTGTATTTACTTTGACATGTCATAACTGCACTCTTTAAACTTTGGAATCTCTGTACAGCAATGTGCCTTCTAAAACAAGTTTGGATTCTGACTGCAGCTGTGTTCTTTCTTGAGGCCATTGTTTCAAGATAAAATTTACGCATAATGTACATTTTGGCATACGCTTGGATAGTTATCACAGCACCCTTTTGTAGCAGGAAATTCCGTCTGGCAACATTCGTCAACATTACCCCTCGGAACCAATTCTGAACAGTGACAGCGGCTTTTCTCTGTATCTGGTACTTTTTTCTTGCAGCATACATTCTATAAGTTGCTTGTATCTTTATAATAGAAGTCTTCATTTTCAAGAACTTACGGCGATAGCTCCATGTTTTGACCGCAGCCTGTAACTGGATGATGGCTTTTCTAGAGGACTGGTATTCTTCTTGTATATTTCTTTTCATACGAACGGCCCTGTAGTGTTTCTGGAACACAGATGCAGCATTTTTCAGTTCTAGGTACTGCTTTCGTTGACAATAACCTCTGAATGCGGACTGTATAACAATGGCCGATTTCAATTCCAGTTTCTTCTCCATTCTTACCTGATGACCTCTGAAGTATGCCTGGATAGTAATGGCTGCTCCCTTAGCGATAAGAAATTGTCGTCTGCATAATTGCGCTTCAGTATTAGCCCGGTAGAACTTTTGTATGATTATCGAGGCGGCAATCATTCTCTTATATTTCTTCTGTTGGATATATCCCCTAATTCTTGACTGAATTAAAATTGCTGCAGCTTTATACATGGCAAATCTACTTCTTTCTTGTTTCATTCTAACCATGGACTGTACAACAACAGCTGCATGCTTCAGTTTTAGGAAACTGCTTCTTTGTTTCCGTGACAACAGAGTTTTTCTAATCCTCTTTTGTATCATGACTACAGCAGAGTACATTTTCCTGTACCGTTGTTGTTTGAGATATCCCCTAACAACCGACTGTAACTTAACTACTCTACTGCACGTCTTTCTGTACCGTTGCCGTTGTACGTAGCCCTTGAATGCAGCCTGAATGGTTATGGCTGCATTTTTAGATTTCAAATACTGCCCATGAACTTTTCTAGTAAGCTGTCTTAATCTGTATTTTCTCTGACAAAATAAAGTGGCTTTCTTTAATTCTTGAAACTGCTTGCACTGTGCGAATCCTCTGTAAATAGCTTGAATCTTAACAGCAGAGGCATTTCTTTCTTTCATTGTTTTTCTGACCTTGTGACCACTGAAAGCAGCCTGAAGTGTCATTGCAGCACCTTTACACACCAGAAATTGTCGTCTGCAAATGTCTCCCTCAACCTTAGCATGGTAATACTTTTCTATTGTTTTAACAGCAGACTTTAATTTATTGTATTTGTTTTGTTGGATAATTTTTCTAACAGCAGATTGAATCAACACCACTGACCTCTTTATTTTCAGATAAGAATTCCTTTCTACCTTCATTCTCCATGCACTCTGAAGTACAACTGCTGCCTGTTTCATTTGGATGAAATCTGACCTTTGTTGCCTAGCAACCAATGTTTCTCTCAATCTTCTTTGAATAGTTATAGCTGACTGTCTTAATTTCTGAAAATGTTTTCTTTGAACATGTCCTCTGAAAGCTGTTTGAATCTTTGCAGCAGATATACATCTAACTTTCATTGCTTTTCTGACCTTGTGACCTTTAAAAGCTGCCTGAAGGGTCATTGCTGCACCTTTACACACCAGAAATTGCCGTCTGCAAATTTCTCCCTCCACCTTAGCATGGTAATACTTTTCAATAGTTTTAACAGCATACTTTATCTTCTTGTACTGGTTTTGTTGGATCATTTTTCTAACAGTAGATTGGATCAACACAACAGACCTCCTCAATGTGCTCTGAAGTACAACTGCTGCCTGTTTCATTTGGATGAAATCTGACCTTTGTTGCCTAGCAACTAATGTTTCTCTAAATCTTCTTTGAATAGTAACAGTTGATTTTCTTAATTTCTGAAATTGTTTTCTTTGAACATGTCCTCTGAAAACTGCTTGAATCTTTGTAGCAGATATACATCTAACTTTCATTGCTTTTCTGACCTTGCGACCTCTAAAAGCTGCCTGAAGGGTCATTTACTGGTTTTGTTGGATCATTTTTCTAACAGTAGATTGGATCAACACAACAGACCTCCTCATTTTAAGGTAACAATTTCTCTCTTTATACATTCTCCATGTACTCTGAAGGACAATTGCTGCCTGTTTCATTTGAATGAAATTTGACCTTTGTTGCTTAGCAACCAATGTTTCTCTAAACCTTCTTTGAATAGTTATAGTTGATTGTCTTAATTTCAGGAATAGTTTTCTTTGAACATGTCCTCTGAAAGCTGTTTGAATCTTTGCAGCAGATATACATCTTATTTTCATTGCTTTTCTGACCTTGTGACCTCTAAAAGCTGCCTGAAGGGTCATTGCTGCACCTTTGTTGATAAGAAATTGACGTCTGCAAATTTCTCCCTCCACCTTTGCATGGTAATACTTTTCTATAGTTTTGACAGCAGATTTCATCTTTTTGTACTGGTTTTGTTGGATCATTTTTCTTACAGAAGATTGAATCAATACTGCAGACCTCCTCATTTTCAGATAGCAATTTCTCTCTTTATACATTCTCCATGTGCTCTGAAGGACAACTGCTGCCCGTTTCATTTGAATGAACTTTGACCTTTGTTGCTTAGCAACCAATGTCTCTCTAAACCTTCTCTGAATGAATATGGTGGATTCTTTCAGTTTCCTATACTGCTGCCTTTGAATATATCCCCTAACAGAAGCCTGAATTTTAATTGCACTCACTTTCCTTACATTCATTTCTTTTCTGACCTTATGACCTCTAAAAGCTGCTTGAAGGGTCATTACTGCACCTTTGCTCACAAGAAATTGACGTCTGCAAATATCTCCCTCCACCTTAGCATGATAATACTTTTCTATTGTTTTAACAGCAGACTTAATTTTGTTGTACCTGTTTTGTTGGATCATTTTTCTTACAGCCGATTGGATCAGTACAACAGAAGATTTCAATCTTGAGTAATTTTTTCTTTCCTTGTTCATTCTCCATTTACTTTGTAGCACTATTACAGCTTGACGCATTTTTATGAACTCTGACCTTTGTTGCCTAGCAACCACCGCTTGTCTGTATCTCCTCTGTAAAAGGATTGTAGCCTGTCTCAGGTTCTGGTATTTCTTATATTGTAGATGCCCTCTCACAAATGCCTGGGCTGAAACAACTTGGTGCCTTGCCTTCTTGTACTGCCTACGACAAATCATACCCCTGACCCCTGCTTGTAAGGTAATGGTCGCACCTACTGTTATAAGATATTCCCGTCTACATTCAACACCCAGTAGATGAGCTCTGTAAAATCTCTGAAGAGTAACTACTGACGATTTCATTCTTTGGAATTTTTGTCTCTGGATAAGCATTCTTGTATATGCTTGCAACCTTTGGGTACTTGAAATTATCAGTAAATATTTCCTTCTTTGTACTAACATTCTTCTCCTAGACTGCATGGCTAACGCAGCTTGTTTAAGCTCTAAAAATGTCTGTCTCTGTTTTCTGCTCTCCAGATAGGTTCTAAAAATTCTCTGTATCAACAACACAGCAGATTTACATTTTTCAAATTTTCGCCTTTGCGAAGAGCCTCTAAATGCAGCTTGAATGCATACCACATTTTCTCTTAGTTTCTGGTAATGTTTTTTCGCTAACCAGCGCCTCACACATGCCTGAATAGTAACAGAAGCTCTTACTAGCCTCTCATGTTTCAATGTAAGATGTCTTCGCCACCATTTCTGTATAACTATACAAGCTTTTTTCGTACTGCTATAGATACAGTGCTGTTTTCTCATCGCAACACATGCTCTATATCTACGTTGTATGATACTGGCTGCTGCAGTTTGTTTATGGAGCAGTTTTCTTGCCAGGAATGATCTAATGCAGGCCTGTATTTTGACTGCTGCACAGTGCATTTTGCTGACCTGTTGGCGAGCCAAATGTCCTCGGAAGACGCGCTGTATGTTGGTGGCAGCTGTTTGACGTGTTCGTCTATAGAGGTACCCTCTACAATAAGCTTGAACCTGAACCACAGCTGCTTTCGTCACTAAATACCTTCTCCTGTGTAAATACTGCTTAACTGCATTCTGAAATATTTTAAAGAAAGTCTTTTTATCATAGCTCTTTTACCAATTTTCTTGCGATTGTGTAATTTCTTAGACGGCAAGTAGTGTCTACATAACTAAGCTAAATGTGATTTAAATTATTTGCTGCATTTCATTTAACATAGGACAATGTATCACAGCTAACAATTAAAATTGTCATTACACACCAAATTAATGAAGACATAATTACAGTAAAATTACAAGATTTTCAATGTTGTTTTAGACTTTTGAGCTCAAATATTGACAATGACCTTGGAGGTACAGAGATAAGACCTTCGTGTAACAGCAACAGAAGACATAATATGAACAAGTGCCAATTTCTTCTAACATGCCAGTCGTCATTTGTACATTGCACATTAAGATGGACAAAAAAAAGGAACAAAAGATGACAGATGGCTTTTCACATGCTGAATACAGATGAGGATCTAATTGTTTCCAGAGATAGGGGCATTATAATTATCACATCATAATAATAGAAGTCATAATACCTGAACAATGTTGACAGCATGCATGTGTTTTTGCAGAAGTATGTCCCGACGCAATTTACGAGCCTCGGACCTGGCACGGTGTCCCCGCCATACCCTCTGTATAGTGAGTGCGGCAGATTGCCGGTGCTCCTCTCTCCTACGCTGGAGGAATTGTTTTACAGCACGCTGTATCACAACAATAGCCTTACCCTTCACCTATAATGATACAAATTATGTTGGGTAAATCTTGAGTCTTTTATTTTTTCACACTTTACCAAATACTTTCCATATCTATAGTAAACAAACATATACAGTTCTATAATTAAACATAGCAAGAGCAAGTTACTTTACATATTTCTCTATGATTTATTTCAAAATTTTAAGTTTTTCAACTAATATTCTTATAACATTTTTTCATATGTTAATACCAAAACACAGTCTCTCCATTCTGACCTGGTGGCCAAAGTCACAAAAAATGCAAATACAGTATAATTAAAAAATCAACAACATGAAAATAATGAACAGCAGCACTGCATGCAGTAAAATTTTAAAAAGGGGCAAAACTCCAAAAATATTGCTTTCAGAAATATGCCCCTTGGCCAACAACTTCACCTTATCATGATAAGCAAGTTGTCCAAGTTTCATGTTGATAACTTTATTAAATATTAATATAATGGGCTATATTCAATTTTTTGCATGAAGACCATGATGCCCTGCAGGGATCATAAGTGATAACAGCTCGACTTTTTCTTCAATTCAAACATGCTTGTAAAAAAGTTAAAGATACATCAATTCTATCAAGTTTTTAAGTTGATGTACCTCATACAAAGCTTGTATTTTCCTCAACCTATGTGCTCTCCAGGCATGCTGTATAACTCGTGCTGCACGTGACTCGTGACGGATATCCAGTAATCGTGCGCACAGATACATAAGGTATGTGACCACTACTTTCTCATCAGGTATAGTATTAGACATGTCTGACCAGCGTAACATCAGAGGAATGCCACCTAACTCCTTCACCTGCAAGAAAACATATCAAAATTACTAAATCATTATCAGACAAAGTTGGACAGAAGGAAAACCAGAATGGGATAAGGAGCCATTTGTTTTGTTATTTTCTTTTGTTTAATACAGCCACTGGCTCCAATTCTATTGTTACAGAATAATTTCTATTGTTCTGTTTACATTTAGATGGCCCCCTATTCAGTAGTGCGGATGGATGGACACTGCAAAAACTATATGCCTCCAAATATGTTGGGTGAAAGGGGTTGATAAAAACATTTCATTTAAGAATTAAATCCCATTCATTCTATTTTATTTGTAAATGAAAGTTTTACTTAAATTTAGCTGAATTAAGTCAAAATAATCACAGCTCTGAATAATGATAAAATATTTCAAATACAGTAAACTCAGCTTGTAGAGATATACCCTAGAGGCAACCAATTTGAAAACAAGGATCGGGGCCACCGCAACAGCTTCGTTATAAGCTGTATATATCAAAATAAGTGGAGTTAACTGTATTTTGGTAAACATACCTTCTCTGAAAGTTTTTTGAAATTCTCCTTTTCATTGGCTAGCAGTTTTTCATATACAGCTGGATCAACTGTATCTATAATTATAAAATACAATAACAAAATATTGTTTAACATATGACTATCAAGTTTTTTTTAACATGACCATTAAATAAAATACCATACAGTAAAATCTTACATGTTCATCATTAAGAAATCCTTAAACAGACTACTCTATCTTTATCAAGACATTTAAGGATGATTGTGAAACAAGTTTTGACACATTGTGACAATCAACACTTTGTCTGGTCTAACCAGAACTTATGTCACAAAACCAACATAAGAACTATTTACAATGAAAATAATCCTTTTTTGTTATTGAAGAGCCTATAGTGTAACTCTAATACATAGCTACTATGTCTGTATAACGCAAATGAAGTCATGTCAAAATATATGCAAAGCTGTGCAATATCGTTTTTATGGAGTCACAAAAGCAGCACAGGTATGTGATAAATCTAGACATCCGGATAACATATTGACCTTTTACCATTCTAAATTTGCATAATGGACTTGTTCACCTTTGATTTGGTACTATTCATTTTAAATTTGAAGAAATTTGGTAACAAAAAATATCCTTAAAACTAAAGCTGCCAACAGTAGAGTGCTATGTCTGACTATGTGAATATGCAGGCTGACCAGGCTCCATACTTGTAGCATAAGCAAATAATAATTGCCGCTATCATTCAAAGGGTTTAACCAACCTCCAAAGACAGCTGACGAGTTCACGCTATCATTCAAGCTACAGTTCATATTGCTGCGGCAATTTTTCTCCATATCCTCCATGTACGTCACAGACGTCTCATTATGTATCTCTGACAAGGGAAGTAATCTAGGATGGTAGTAGTGTAAGATGTGGCAGAGTGCTCTCCCATCTGAGAATGATACTGTGAAGTTCTCTATCTGTAAAACCAAATATTATTTCATAAAATTAGAGTTTTTACCTTCATCATGAACTCTCTTCATAAACCACTATGTAAATAATGTTTAAACTTTACCTGTAGCTCTAGATATTTATAAAATACACATTTTATCATCATGATTTCGCCTACCAACATCTTACATTATCAAAGAAAAGAAAGTCAGATTCATTTGATATCAATAAACTATTAAAGGCACATTATGCATTAGAAATCAGTAATTTTATAAATCTTTAGAAAGTTCAATTATGTGTTTAATAATTTATTACCAATAGATTTTTAGCATACTTATGTAAGATATTAAATAACTAAAGGAAGTAGCGCAGAACATACAGTAATGTGTCGTAAATGTAGCAAATTGTAAACAACGTGGTTATTTGACTTCCATACAAAATACTAAAGCATTATTTTCAAACGAATTTCAAAAGAGCAAAAGATATTTATCTATAAAGCAAATGAGTAGCTTTTTGGAAGATACTAAACATAAAAAGTTTAAGAGAAATAAAAATGATAGCTTTTTGGGGGCTGAATTGGCCTTTAAAATCCTACCTTGATATCGTAGAAGGCACATACAGCCCTACACCATTTCATCAACAAGTTAAGTCTCTCATCTTGTGTATGTAGGTCAGGTCCTTCAGATTCTCTCCTCTTACTTGTAACATCTGAATAAAACAACATCACAAAAATTATCCACTGTTGTTCTTTAGACAAGCATGGAAAGAGAACAAGGCTTCATGACAATTATCTATGTAAGATTTTAATTATGCCACCGCAGCATCTGCGATGCGGTGGCATATAGCGATTCACCTGTGTGTGTGTTTGTTTGTGTGTGTGTGTGTTATATAGATTATATAGTGAACTTAAAAAATCTTCTTGTGAAAAACCACTAGTCCAATTTCAACCAAACTTGGCAGGATTGATCCTTGGGTGAAGGGCTTCCAAAGTTGTTCAAAGAATTTCATTCCATGCAGAAATCTGGTTGCCATGGCAACCAAAAGGAATTATAAGAATAAATTAAAAAAATCTTCTTGTAAAGACCAAAAAGACCTAGAGCTTAGATATTTTGCAAAAGGCATTGTCTGGTAGACCTCTACCAAGATTGTTCAAATTATAGCCCTGGGGTCAAAATCGGCCCCGCCCCGGGGGTCATTGATTTTCACTATATGTACATATAGTAAAAACTTAAAATACCTTCTTGTAAAGACCAAAAGGCCTAGAGCTTAGATATTTTGCATAAGGCATTGTCTCGTAGACCCTTACCAAGATTGTTCAAATTATAGCCCTGGGGTCAAAATCAGCCTGCCCCGGGGTCATTGATTTTCACTATATGTACATATAGTAAAAACTTAAAACACCTTCTTGTAAAGACCCAAAAGGCCTAGAGCTTAGATATTTTGCATAAGGCATTGTATGGTAGACCTCTACCCAGATTGTTCAAATTATAGCCCTGGGGTCAAAATCTGCCCCGCCCCGGGGGTCATTGGTTTTCCTTTTATGTATATAGTAAAAACTTATAGTAAAACTTTAAAAAAAAATTCTTCTAGCAATTGACAAATGCTAAAGGTTAGATATTTTGCATGAAACACTGAGAAGTGAACTTCTAGCAAGATTGTTCAAATTATAGCCCTGGGGTCAAAATTGCCCTCGCCCCGGGGGTCATTGATTTTCAATACATACATAATAGTAAAAAAAATAAAAAAATCTTATTATCTGAAGGAACAAGGCTTAGAGCTTAAATATTTGTTAAATAATATCATCTATAGGTACTCTACCAAAGTTGTTCAAATTTTGTCTCTAGTGTCAAAATTAGCCCCGCCCCGGGGCCATAGGTTTTCCTTATATGTATATAGTAAAAACTTAAAAAATCATCTTCTCTTAATTTACAAATGCTAGAGTTAAGATATTTTACATGAAACATTGTGTAGTGAACCTCTAGCAAGATTGTTCAAATTATAGCCCTGGGGTCAAAATTGGTTCCGCCCCGGGGGTCATTGATTTTCATTATGTACATATAGTAAAAAAATAAAAAATATTTTTGTCTGAAGGAACAAGACATAGAGCTTTGATGTTTGCTATATAATATCATCTATAGGTCCTCTACCAAAGGTGTTCAAATTTTTCCCCTGGTGTCAAAATTGGCCCTGCCCGGGGGCATTGATTCTCATTATGTACACATAGTAAAAACAGAAAATAAAACAAATTTTTTCTGAATGGGAGAAAGCTACAGCTTAGATATTTGACTTGAAATGTTGTTTGGTGGACCTATATCAAGATTGTTTTGAATTGAACCCTTGGGTCCAAAATTTTGCCTTGCCCAAGGGGACAGTGACCTACTTTCTTGTCCTTTGATGTACAGCAATGAAATTTTGACCATGTGCACAGTTTTAGTTGTAAAATTGAACTTTGATATCAGGTGACCTAGATTTTGATGATGTGACCTACTTTCTTGTCCTTTGATGTACAGCTATGAAATTTGAACTATGTGCACAGATTAAGATGTAAAGTGAACTTTGATTTCAGCTGACCTAGATTTTGACAAAGTGTCTTACTGTGTTGTCCTTTGATGTCGTCATGAAATTTAGGCTGTGTGAAATATGACCCTACCACCAAATTTACTAGACTCGAGTGCATTGATATATTCCTACTCTGATCTTTTATTGAGTTAACAACAGATTTAACCACTAATCTGATAATAAGAATTAGATTATTTATAAGGTCAGGGATCTATGCATTATGACAATCTTCAAAATTGTATATAAACAAAACAAAATCTGTTCCTACACTACTATTTAGTATTGTATTAATGCGGTGGCATAGCATTTTTCTCAAATGCAATCTTGTTGAAATTAAGACCATGATTAAAAAGACAGACACACACTGTCAAATAAATTAAGTTTATAAACAGATAAAAAAAATCTCTATTATAATTATAATACCATTAAAAAGCCATATTATGCACCAAATTATGGGCCAGGCATAAATTTAGTTGTACTTAAAATGGCAATTTAACTTGGTCATGATCATTTATTTATTCATTTTATTTCCATTTCATATCATATCCCTTTTAGGGACCTACACATGTGCTTAAAGTCACCAAGGATGTGTGTTTGTTGGCAGTTTTAACCAGTTATTGCACTAGGGTGGATTGTGCAAGTCAAAAGTGAAGCTTGAATATGGTGGGAGTCATACCCATGGTCTCTGGGTTAGAAGTATGATGCTCCATCTCTACACCATTATTTTTCTAAAATTTAGGAAATTGCATACAGCTATTTAAAAAACAAGGGCTTTTTGTAGTGCAGCATGCTTGACTATTCTCAGTGCTTAATAGTAAAACAATAGCATGGATAATGAAGAATTTTCTAATTTACAAAAGGCCATAATTATGTAAAAATCCATATCAGAGTGGCGTACCATGGACAGTGACCTCTTATTAAGCTCAAAAATAAGTATGCTAAGTTTCAATCCATTCCCTTCAGTATTTTTGCAGACAGCAAGTTGCACACAAAAACTTAACCGAAGTGTGACATTGACACCTGAATGAGTACATTATCTCTCCCTTTTCTCCAAATAGTCAAACTAAAAACTCACCTGTTTGTAGGTTCACAAATTTATGAAGCTGTTTCTTGAGGCGTAAACTTCTTTCCAGTATCTGAACCTCCTCCTTGACCTGTTCCACATTAATCACCATGGCAACCTGGTAGTGAAGGATGATTGCCCATAGCAACGACAGAGTTTTCTCTCTGTGGCCGTCAACAATATCTCGAGTTGTAACAACACCTAAAATGTAATACACATTTTTTTTATGAAATACCTCCATCATCAAGCATGTACAATTTATTTCACTCAATCATTAATTTTCATGGTGAGGAAATATTTTTTGTGTTTATTTTTTATAGTATAGATAATTTCTATCAAGAGTTTATTTATTATATGTTGTGCAAAATACTTCAATAGCAATTTGTAGACTGGCTATTAAAGGGACCCCACTGAGGTTTTTTTGAAATGATTGGACTGGAAATAAATAAATTAAGTTATAATAATTATTCTAATTGTCAAAAGTGACCAAAAATTGAAAAGTGTTGCACCATTTTCCACTCAAATCAGGATAAGAATAGCACAATAAATATGAGTTTCAATTTATTTCTGAGTATATCTTTTAATTATCTTTTTAATATGTCTTTCTGTTGTACCCTAGCTGATTTAAGTAAGAAATTCAAATTTTTTGTTTTTACACTTTTTACCTCAGTGGAGTTCCTATAAAATTGACTTTAGGGTATTATCAGTAACAAGTAGATTTTTATTCAGGAATAAACCACTTTCATCTCACCTGTATCAATACTCTGTTGCTCCAATACTTTGAAAACAACCTCAAGGTTATGAATTTTCTGCAGACGACTAATGGCCGGTGTCCGCAAACTTTTCCTGATCTTTTCTGTTTTATCACAGATCACTTCCATCACACGTCTGTCAAAAATAGCAAAAGTTGGCAATTATTTATGATTGAATGTAAATTCAAAAGGTATTTTATAAAACAGGGTTTTGATTTTTATCTCAGGTAACAGATGTGCCAACGAAAACAACCGATTTGGAGGGTCAAGAGGGGTATTTTAATCTACAAGCTGAAAATACAACAGAAATGGTTTTTACAGCATTTCAACCGATGATATGAACCGGCAATCGGTTTATAATAAAAACCCTGTTTAAATACTGATTTCTCATTTATATGAAAGGAATCAAACATGCATGAACTCTGTAAACTGGTATAGTTTGAAAGTACAATGTAAATGAATATAACCTTGATGGTTTTACCCTGCAAAATTTGTGAGATGCATTTTTCCTTTTTTATTAACTGTATCAGTCAATTCAAGGTTTAAGGGTTAAAAAGAAAATGCTTTAAAACAGAGCTGTGTATAGTGCAATGTGTGCAGGTGAAGCAAAGACTGAGTCTGCATGGGCAATGGACATGGAATCACATTTGCCACTAGGAGGCTGCTGTAGACCAAAATGACTGACTCAAATGAATTTTAGGATGCTTCAAAATTCAAAAAACACACATGTTTGTATGTGATAAAAGAAAAAATTACAAGTAGGACAATCTCAGAATTTTTTTAAATAGCAACCATAACATAAGTAATTGGTTAGACTACCTTGAAAACCAGGTTGGCCCGGCTCACTCAAAATATCAAAATATTCTTAAAATTCCCAATATCTATGAAGATTTTTTTCCAACACAAGATTATGCTTTTAATTTTTTTTACCTAAACATCTTTATTGTCCACAAATTTTCACACTCAATGTTCATTCAAACATTAATGATATGAATGAATTTCTCAAAGAAGTATGATGTCTTAAAACCATACTTATAATCTACGAAAAATACGCACGCAAGTCTTAGCCCATCCCTTAGATCTGTACCAAGACTTTTCACAGCAAAGTCAAACTCATCAAGGGCTGTCTGAGAATATGTCACCTTGTATCCAAGGTAACCAAGATGACGGGTGATGTCTCCTTCACCTGACAGGAAGTCTCGTGAAAACAGTAGTAACATATCTTTACTTGCCTATAAATAGAATTTTTATGAACTTTTAAAATTATGAAATTCAAAGAAATGATAGAAAGTCATGAAACCTTTATTTCCCTCATTTTATGTAACATAGACAATGCCACTCAACATATCTTCATCAATATTACTGTAATAAAATATTTATTGGTATTTATACATGTGAAATATTTCATGTCAAAAAGGTAAAGTTACAATAAGAATCTAGATAAAAGGTAACCGAATTCCTTTATATTCTAATGCAAACATGTTCATTGCTTATCACAGCACTTCATTATGTTCATACTGTCTACATGCTGATAATTAATAAGGTTAAGAATAATTGGATTTCACTTACAAAATTAAAGTTATCTGCCTAGCATAATATTTCTCAGTAATGCTGTCAAGTTAGTTGACAAAACTCAAATATTTACTATTTCAACACAAACTGTAGACATATGGAATTTCAAAATATAAGTTACGATAGTGATCATTACCTTGATATCAGAGTTTTTACAGAAGAGACAAGGGTTATGATCAATCAATGTATGTTGTTTAGCTTGATCCAGGAAGTACACTAACATGAGATATCTCTTCAGTGTATGCTGGGCAGTCGCCTCTGCATATCCTGCAAAAAATTATAGAAATTTTATTGCTATACATAATTACATAATAAAAGTCCAGGAAAACTGTAGTTCAATAAATTACACAATATTACATTGTAAATTGTTTGGTTATGTAATTTATTTACACATATAAAGGTTGGAAAGTTGAAAAAAAAAAAAAATCAAGAAAAATCTGAATTTCACTATTTTCTTTTAGTTTTAAATACATATAAAAATGCAGCGTAAACACAAAGAATCCTGCAAACTTTTGGAAATGAAAAGATTTTTATCATAAGTATAGTATTTCACTTTTCAGGTTTGTTTGTTTGATTGGGTTTTACGTCACAGCGACACAGTATAGGACATTTGGCGACATTGCAGCTTTACTGGTGGAGGAAGACCTCAGGTGCCCATCAGTGCATTATTTCAGGCCAGAACAGGCACCTGAGTAGAACCACCGACATTCCGTAAGCTAACTGGATAGCTTCCTCACATGAAAGAATCCCTGTCGGGATTCGAACCCACAGTGTTGAGGGGCAAGTGATTTGAAGTCAACGACCATAACCACTTGGCCACTTTTCAGGTACCAAATCAAATTTTCCTACAAATTATAAATGGTTTTGTCCAAATTGAAAGATGGACTTGTCTATTACAGATAATTAGGGTGGTAAGGGTTAAATAAAAACAACCTACCATCTCTGTATAAATGTGGGACAGTTGGATGTGCAAATTCCTCAGCTATATCCGGACTACCAAGGACGCGGAGAACTATAAACTGTGACAAACCATATACATCTGTGTTACACTGAATAGGAACCACTTCACCGTAGATTGTCTAAAACATACAAAAAGATTCAAACATATATTAATATTCCAGCATTTCTGGGGACCAGGAAAATACCAGTACGGCATCAATGTAAATTCAATTGCAGCGAAAATTTAAATAATGGCCATCTATGAAGTAGAAAACTAGAAATGTGTCCATAGGACACGGATGCCCCCACACGCCACTGTTCTGTCAATCTTATGACTAGGTCAAATATTTTTTGGACTACATGTGCCACAAGTTGAAAACTAAAAATCAATAAAGGGCCATTATTCTGTTAAATTTGGTCACAGCAAAAATTCCTTCCTTTACTACCATCTACACATTAAGGTTGTTCATCCCTGGAAGTATAAGCAAAATCTGCCATCCAGTTTAAGAGGAGTTGCGTTCACAAAATTTCTACATAGTATATAGTGAAAAAATCAACAAAGGGCCATAATTCTGTTAAATTTAGTCGCAGCAAAAATTCCTTCCTTTACTACCATCTACAAATTAAGGTTGTTCATCCCTGAATTTTAAGCAAAATCTGCCATCCGGTTTAAGAGGAGTTGCGTTCACAAAATTTTTACAGAGTATATAGTGAAAAATTCAACAAAGGGACATAATTCTGTTAAATTTGGTTGCAGCAAAAATTCCTTCCTTTACTGCCATCTACACATTAAGGTTGTTCATCCCTGGAAGTTTAAGCAAAATCTGCCATCTGGTTTAAGAGGAGTTGCGTTCACAAAATTTCTACTTAGTATATAGTGAAAAAATCAACAAAGGGCCATAATTCTGTTAAATTTGGTCGCAGCAAAAATTCCTTCCTTTACTACCATCTACACATTAAGGTTGTTCATCCCTGGAAGTTTAAGCAAAATCTGCCATCCAGTTTAAGAGGAGTTGCGTTAACAAAATTTCTACATAGTATATAGTGAAAAAATCAACAAAGGGCCATAATTCTGTTAAATTTGGGCGCAGCAAAAATTCCTTCCTTTACTACCATCTACACATTAAAGTTGTTCATCCCTGGAAGTTTAAGCAAAATCTGCCATCCGGTTTAAGAGGAGTTGCGTTCACAAAATTTCTACAGAGTATATAGTGAAAAAATCAACAAAGGGCCATAATTCTGTTAAATTTGGTCGCAGCAAAAATTCCTTCCTTTACTACCATCTACACATTAAGGTTGTTCATCCCTGGAAGTTTAAGCAAAATCTGCCATCCGGTTTAAGAGGAGTTGCGTTCACAAAATTTCTACATAGTATATAGTGAAAAAATCAACAAAGGGCCATAATTCTGTTAAATTTGGTCGCAGCAAAAATTCCTTCCTTTACTACCATCTACACATTAAGGTTGTTCATCCCTGGAAGTTTAAGCAAAATCTGCCATCCAGTTTAAGAGGAGTTGCGTTCACAAAATTTCTACACAGTATATAGTGAAAAAATCAACAAAGGGCCATAATTCTGTTAAATTTGGTCGCAGCAAAAATTCCTTCCTTTACTACCATCTGCACATTAAAGTTGTTCATCCCTGGATGTTTAAGCAAAATCTGCCATCCGGTTTAAGAGGAGTTGCGTTCACAAAATTTCTATATGGTATATAGTGAAAAAATCAACAAAGGGTCATAATTCTGTTAAATTTGGTCGCAGCAAAAATTCCTTCCTTTACTACCATCTACACATTAAGGTTGTTCATCCCTGGAAGTTTAAGCAAAATCTGCTATCCGGTTTAAGAGGAGTTGCGTTCACAAAATTTCTACACAGTATATAGTGAAAAAATCAACAAAGGGCCATAATTCTGTTAAATTTGGTCGCAGCAAAAATTCCTTCCTTTACTACCATCTACACATTAAGGTTGTTCATCCCTGGAAGTTTAAGCAAAATCTGCCATCCGGTTTAAGAGGAGTTGCGTTCACAAGATTTTGGGACGTACGGACAGACGTACGGACGGACGGACAGACGGACGGACGGACACTCGGACGGACAAGTGCAACGCTATATGCTCCCACTCTGTGGGGGCATAAAAAAAATTATACAAATTTATTGTAGTTTGATTGTGTTGGAAGCTGTAAGCTCATTGAAAAACTCACGAATCAGTTCCTGGTACCAACCAGTACTAAGCTGTGAATGTAAAGTTTCTTGCTCAAGGAAACAACGGCTTGCCCCTAACAAGGTTTGAACCCACAGGGTCAGCAACCTGTAGATTACTAGTACAACGTGTTAACCACTTGGCCATGCCACCACTTAATATCAAGATGTATGTAACTGTATCTTTTAATACTTTGAAATCAGTCAAAACATGTAACTTCCATTCTATAACCTTTATAGAATCGGTGCTTGCCAAGAACTTAACAGTAACTTACAGTCAGTATTTATAAATGCTCTCTAAAGAGTCTCCTTTTTTCCCATATGATATATAACAAAGAATAAAGTCTAAGTAAGTTGTAGATATTTAAAATACAGGCAATTATGTACCTCAAGTCCAACTCGTAACCATAGTGGGTTATACGACAACAGCATGTCTAGAACTTTCTGTTTTGCTCCAACATCAGCATGTATCATTTTATCCTTCCGTACCAACAGTCTCTTGTTCTCCACCTCCTCCTCGACCTTCTGAATAACCCGTCTTACCGACTCGGACTGAAATAGACGACATGCAGATTTTCGCAGTCTGTTTAACTTCCTGTGGGCGGAGTATGTGCGAAATGATAAGATCTCATTGGTTGGTGCGAGTCTAGTTCTTCCTTTCTCAATATCTAATGTGAGCTTACCAGCGTCAACTGAAAAATACACAATAATATTATTATCGGTACTGCTGGGTGATTATTTGTTATGATGCTTTTAAATGTTATGTAGAAATATTATTGGTACATACAATGTACATTATACAAGATGGTTCTTAACTTTTCATGAACAAAATAGGCTGACTTAAAGAAACACAAATATCATTTTCAGTGCCACCAATAGATGTTCGAAAATGCCACTTTGGCACAGATGATAACCATTGCCAAACTACAAAGACAAATGTATTTTTTTTTTAAGTCCATTTAAAATTAAAGATATTTAGCTACATGTAAGTAAAGATTAAGTGATACCAACAATTAATTTCAGTAACAGTAACTTTCTACAAGGAAATTCTATTCTAAAATTCTATTCTTAGCCACAGTAACCTTGGCTTTATGAACCTCAAATCCCACTTCACTAATTATAAAGGACTACTGTCACAAAGGCTAGAAATTTAAGCTTCACCAACAGTTATAATCAAGATATATGTTACTGCTTTAAGTTTAAGTAAGATATAACACATTAAAGTAACCAACCTTTGACCTTCACATCACTACCCTGGTGTTCCTCTGGCGGTGTCAGTATAAAGTTGAGCCAGTTTACAAATCCTCGCTCCTGTTTCTCCATCCAGCGTTCATCATAAAACATATTTTTCGCAGCAAATGGCAGGGGGTGCTTAGGTATTGCTAGAATTATACAGAGTTATAAATAAACTGTAAATATATACTATATTTTCATCAGCATGCTTTTCCCATGATAACTTATTATACCTTTAATTATCTAAATACAGAACACTTTTTTCACCTTATTCTTATTATCCATCCACTTACATGCGAGAGCTTAAGAACTGTGCATCCAAGTAATATTCTTAGGCAAGTATTTATGCAGGATCCTGTGTCCTGTAAATGCCTGGATATACGACAAACGCTTACTTTGTAGATATTTATATAAATGAATCATACTATTTTACAATGTAATGAGAAGAAATCATACTGTTTTTTCTTAAATTAAGCTAAAACGACTGAATACCTGTTTTAGATTTTTTTGTCAAGATGAGTTTTGAAGTGGCTAGACCCTTTACCATGCCAACGGACGGCTTAACTCCTTGACGAGAATTTGTAATTTTTGCTGCACCTGCAAAGCAAAATTGAAACAAAAGATTTAGAGGTATATACATAACAAAGAAGAGTGTAGAAGAAATGACTCACCTACTTGATAAATAAAGGTACCCTATGACTTTAGCAAAGCTGCCAGGAATGACCTGTTATATTTTCAAATTGAGATCAGTCTCCATCTTAAGTCAGAAAAGGACTAGGTATTTCTTATTGTAATTCTTAAAAGTTGTTAACAGTATGCAAATGTTAAGATTACACACAATGTAGAAACTAAACAATAAATGGCTTTGTGCTACAGTTGTGACTGGTCTGCAAAACTCTGTTGTTGGCAATTAAAATTATACAATTTTGAACAAGATTAGTAAGTATCAATTTTTTTACATTTACAAAAAAGAATGATAGATATAAATGCATGAAATTAGCAGCTTACCAACACTCTTCACTCTCTGTCTGGTTACCCTAGCCGGTGGTTCTACAGTGTCCTTCACCTTGGTTGTTTGTTTGCCTTTATTACGATAATCATCATCTAAAGAATTCTTCCTGGAAGTCACTGGTGCAGCATTTTCACTTTTAGGACGCTTAGAGGAAAGCCTGTCTTCTTCTTGTGTAACAGGGTTACTACGTTTCTTCAGAAACTGTTTTGGATCGGGTTTTTTTGTCTGGGGTTTTGTAGGCTGGTCTACATCATCTTTTTTGTTAAAAGGCACAAAGAACAGTTGATCCACTGATTCTGCTTGTTGAGCTTCAGGCATTCTACTATCTGTTGTGTCCTTGTTACCACTTTCAGTTTCATTTATGTTATTTCTAATGTTGTCCCCTTCATTTAAAGTCAAGCTTGTATCTAAACTCTCAACAGACTTACGGCCAAGACTCGCCACTGATCTTCTAGCTGATAATTTTCTTCGTCTTAAGTTTGAACTTGGTCCATCAGTGTGCTCAGTAATTTCTGGAGAAATTTCAGAGTTTTCCTTGTCTTTGTGATTGACCTGCACAGCATTGTCGCTATTTTGATTATCTAGACTGCCCGGAGCTTCATTATCATCACGATCATTTCCCACTTCATTATTTACTTCCTTCGAGAAAAGCTGTTTTCCATCAATTCTACTTAAATTAACCACCTTCGGTTTTTCTACTATATGAGTTGACCTTCTTGAAAGATTCAACTGAGGACTGGTTGGCAGTAAATGATATGGGGTAGTTGGAAAACTTGAATCCTTGGCTACTAATACACTGTTTTCTAAGGGCACTTCAAATGTGCTGTTTTGTGAAGACTTTGGTGGTGATATTTCTTCACGAACTTCAGTCAAATTCCCAGTACCAGCCAATTCCTCAGAAATAGTTTGTTCTGAATGCTTCATTGCAGATTCATCTGCCAGTTTCTTAACAGCAGCCGCTGACCTCTTAGCATGCTCTAACAGTGCATCAGAGGGTCTTGATTTTGTGACGGTTAAAGTTGCTCTACGTGCCCATTCCACCTTCCCCTCAACAAATATTTTATCTGGGGAATTTGTTTGCTTCTCGAAAGAGTCGTCCTCCAGACTATCTGCAGAATACAATCTTTCCAACTGTTTCTGTCCATCACCATTTCCTTCCATTTGGTCATTCACTTCTTTCTGATTATTATTTTTCATTTGGTCTACTTCAGTTTCTGGTTCTTCCTCCTCATTCAGAGCATTAGCTTCATGCTTATCCTTTTCTTGCAAAAGCTTTCTTGAATTTGAAAACTCTTTAGGGACAGTAAAAGTTGTCCTCCTTGGACTAGCTTCCGAGGGCTTTTGTGTTTCAAGTATCTTCAACTTAGTTGATTCAGCTACAAAGGTTCCCCTACGAATGTTTGCATCAGCAGCTGGCATAGAAAATCGTGGAGAGGTTCGACTTTTCACAAAAGTCTCTCTTCTTGGCAGATCCTCTGCTGAACATTTATCTTCCATACCAACAAACGATTCATTCCCACTTTTCTCAATCTCCAAACTTTTATCATGTACATATGATTTCAGACTTTTCAACTGATCAAGTAAGCTATTTTTGCCAACTGAATCATCCAAATGTTTATGCTTATCAGTCAGTTTTTCACAACTACCATCATCTTTATAACTAACTTCTTGTGCAAATGTATCAGAAGTGATTATTTTTCTCGCATTATTTCTCTTGGCACCACGTAGTAACTTCACACCTGTTGGCTTATTGTCATTTTCTACTTCTATGATCCCACTTCTTTTTCTCAAAGATCGTCTAGGTCTGTCTGGTTTGACATTTTCATTCTGAAGAAAACTGGGCTCCTCTACAGACTGGTTTTCGACATCTAGACTGTCATGGAATGTTTCATTATTTTTCACGCCATTAAAAGCAGTGTTTTTAGCGACATAAGTAGTTTTGTATTCTTCCAGAAAACTTGGTTCCAGAGTATCAGCATTAAGCTTTGATTTTAGTAATGTTTTTGCTTCTTCTTTGACAAAAACTGTATCTTCAATTTCAATATTATCTTTAGACTGAGAGAGAAAAGATGGTTCCAAAATATTGGGTGCATTTTCTTTTAATGGCCGGGTACATGCATTATTGCCTGGTTCGAGGAAACTTGGTTCTAAACAATCGTTGTCAATCTTTCTCACAGAATCATCAAGCACCTGAACACCACTGATATTACAGTCTTCAATATTCAACAGACTTGTGTCTTGAAGACCTTTGACAGTTTCACCATGAATTATAGGAACAACAAGCCCCAGTCCAGACACTTGAGAATATGTATTTGACCTCCTCATTTTTTTCCTAGATAATTTCTCCTCAATTTTTGGTTTAGGCAAGGATGTTTTCCTCCCTGATGACCTTCTCTCTTTTCTTGTCAAACTGTCTGGATCAGTGTTTTCTATATCTTCTACAAAGTTTCTACCATTTACTATGTTCTCTTCACAAACTTGTTTATATTTATCACTTAGCCTTGGAGATTTGCGCTTGGGCTCACCAGACCTCCTGTCTCTCTTGGATATACCATCACTAAGAGTCTGAGCTTTGGACTTTTGTGCTTGACCTTTTGGTTGCGCCCATGGTTTAACGGTTTTTGATGTCATCTGATTGGGTAATTTCTGTCCAACAGCTTGTTTGGTAGACTGCTTTCCTGTTTTCTTTTCAGGACTGTACTGCTGATTGATATTTGCCAGACTTTTTGTATGTATTACTGATAATGGCCTTGTTGCCTTTGAAGCAAGCAATCCTACACGTTTCTGAAATATGAAATTTGTTATCATCATTAAGGTTTCTTATCTGAAAATATCAAAGTCAAAGACTTTATATGTCATATAACTATCCTTGTTTGTTATTGTATGTAATATACCAGTGGTTTTCTGAGTTAATTTGGGAGAGACCTTAGCCATGTGATTTTGGGAAATGATATCCCTAAAATTGCTAATTTTGGAAATAAATAAGCTACAGTGAGTTTATATTTTTAGAAAAACTGCTTGATTCTAAAGAAAATTCCGGTTGGGAAGAGGCCTATATAAAGCTTCTGTTATATAAGGCGAAAAATCAGTTGTATACTGCAAATGCATGTTTAATTGGTCAATATTGCTATCACGTCCATACAAATAAAAATTAAACACGAACCTTACAATAGTTTTATAAATGAATGCCTTTTCATAAACTATTTGAGGACAGACTTACTGTTTTCTTTTTCTGTGGCGGAGGTGCAGTGACTGTTCCAAATACATAAGCTTGAACCCTGTATGCCCCATCAACTTGCATCATTACCATCTCTCTACAACCACCTGCCTCCTTTGGTGACCAAGTTATATCAAGGGGATATGATTCCTCTGGACCGACAATGAATTCTTTACAAGAAATGCTAAAATGTTTCTTTTCTGGAAACTTTTCAACCTTCACAGATTGTTGGTAATCATGAGGGTTTCTTAGTAAAAGCGTACAAGTCTTTTCATGTCCAACTTTCAAGGTGCCAAATCCAAGTCTTGGTGCCCCTGAAAAATGTGTAAGGGTCAGAACTTCAACAGTATCACTTTTTCTTACAGGTGCCTTCACTGCTGGCTTTTCAACAGCTATCTCAAACTTGAAACCTTTTGGTGTTGTCTCGAACCATGACCTTCGACTTTTGCGTCTCAAGTTTGCTGGGTTTGGTGTCGATGTTGGTAAGGCTGACATATCAGACGGATAGAACAGGCTCTGATCGAGGGCGGAGTGCTCAAGCACGCTGCATCCATCACCAACAAGGTTTCCACCTCGCACGATACTCTTGTCAGACATTATGACCTACTTAAGGCATTTTCTGAAATTAAAGAAACACATGTTGTCAATAAAAGTCTAACAAAACAATACAGCTAGGTGAAACAATAATTCAATCTTTTCAACAACTAGAAATGTGTCCATAGGACACCGATGCCCCCACACGCCACTGTTCTGTCAATGTTATGACTCTAGGTCAAATATTTTTTGGACTACATGTGCCACATTTTGAAAACTAAAAATCAATAAAGGGCAATAATTCTGTTAAATTTGGTCGCAGCAAAAATTCCTTCCTTTACTACCATCTACACATTAAGGTTGTTAATCCCTGTAAGTTTAAGCAAAATCTGCTATCCGGTTTAAGAGGAGTTGCGTTCACAAAATTTCTACACAGTATATAATGAAAAAATCAACAAAGGGCCATAATTCTGTTAAATTTGATCGCAGCAAAAATTCCTTCCTTTACTGCCATCTACACATTAAGGTTGTTCATCCCTGGAATTTTAAGCAAAATCTGCCATCTGGTTTAAGAAGAGTTGCATTCACAAAATTTCTACATAGTATATAGTGAAAAAATCAACAAAGGGCCATAATTCTGTAAAATTTGGTTGCAGCAAAAATTCCTTCCTTTACTACCATCTACACCTTAAGGTTGTTCATCCCTGTAAGTTTAAGCAAAATCTGCCATCCGGTTTAAGAGGAGTTGCGTTCACAAAATTTCTACATAGTATATAGTGAAAAAATCAACAAAGGGCCATAATTCTGTTAAATTTGGTCGCAGCAAAAATTCCTTCCTTTACTACCATCTACACATTAAGGTTGTTCATCCCTGTAAGTTTAAGCAAAATCTGCCATCCGGTTAAAGAGGAGTTGCATTCACAAAATTTCTATATAGTATCTAGTGAAAAAATCAACAAAGGGCCATAATTCTGTTAAATTTGGTCGCAGCGAAAATTCCTTCCTTTACTACCATCTACACATTAAGGTTGTTCATCCCTGTAAGTTTAAGCAAAATCTGCCATCCGGTTTAAGAGGAGTTGCGTTCACAAGATTTCGGGACGTACGGACGGACGGACGGACGGACAAGTGCAACGCTATATGCTCCCACATTGTGGGGGCATAAAAATGAAATTAATCAGCATTTCATAACTGCTTAAGCTATACACAGACGTTCGGCATATTTGGCATGACATATGTGCCTGTCACATGTCATTGTGGAATCCGGGATAAAGTCATTAAAAACCGAAGACCGTGGTTTACATTTGAGTCATATACAACAAACTTAGTTCTCCATACCAGCTATGTTTTAAAATTTACACCAAAATAGAAATGTTATAGTCAGTTAACAATATATTTATTTTTTTTTTACAATCTGATCAATGGAAATAAACTTTCAAAAAGAACTTAAAGCTGCATGCCTCCAGATGAGCCAAAATATTCAAGAAAAGCAAAATCGAAAAAACTGTACTGGGATTTAAAGAAAAGTAAAGAAAACAAACAAGATAAAAGCAATAATTTCCCATGTTATTTGCGAAAAATGACCGATTTTGCAGTATTTTTCACCATATTTTTTCTGTGTTACTAATGCAGTAAGGGCTATTTTTGCATATTTTGACATCTATTTAGTCATTATACTATATTGCATGATTACAGAGAATCATGTTTGGAAAAAAGTTATACAATAAAAAATTTGGGGGATAAATCATCATCAACATTCAAGATACTAGACATGTCAACAACAATACCTAAAACCAGGTATGCATGTGCCTGATTAAGTATTTTTTGTTGTGTTTTTTTTTCAGTGGTTGTCGATCAATTAGTCGCTCTTTTCTCAACAATAAATGAATGCTTCTTCTATAAATTAAGTAACAAAATTTATTTTAATTTTTCATAAACAGTAACATTGTCTATTTCAAGAACATTGGTGTTGAAAATTTGGACGTCAAGAGTGCAATAGCTAGTTAACAATTGAACATCAAAACTTCTGCATATGCTATTGAAGTATTGTATATCATAATTAATCTAGTTTGTCAGTTAGAGCAACAACAACCTGTTGTAAAGCTAGTTAGAGTGATGTTATAGGATAGAATCTAGTGTAATGGACACCATAACTAAATGCACAACCTTTTTGTTACTATGCTTCTCGGTTTTTCTGTGTTATTCTGATTTGAGGATAAACATATTAAAAAGGGTGTTTGCAGGGGGGGGGGGGTCTTTTATCATCTCTATATTTTATGTGCATATTTCTATTTTATTATGCGCACAGATGACTTTATTATTATTCTACTGATTTGACCTATCAGTGGTTCTTTCCTAAAATATTACCTAAAGAACGCCATCATAATTAGCCCTAGGCCTACTACGTTAAACTTTGACATTCTAATTTGAAAATATCAGAATGTCTGATTTAATCATCGGTCTTGTATAATCACTCAGCTAATCACACATTTCGTTGCTACAAAACGGTCGAGATCTTTATGAAAAGCGAATAAAATTTTAAACAGTTTTAAATATGTTATAAACAATCTAAATAATAATCTATACACCTGTGTCAATTCAAAATATATATAACTGTCACATTACATATAATTCATTGTGCGTTAATAAATACAATTCAATAAAATGTACCATTTAATATAAATTCAAAAGATTCGGCCTTGTGTTGACATCCAGCAACGTTTGAAATCTGTACGGAAAATTAACCAATCAAATGGTGTCTTTTAAAATTTAACCAATCAAAATATTTCTCCCATTTCATGTCAGGTGACAGTCATGTGATAGTACAAAATGTCTGCCTGAGTGTAAACTTTTTTGCTTCAGGCAAAATAGGAAAAACAAAACAGTGATTTACCATTAAATACATAAGAGTATATAATCACCTATCAAATATGTTAAACTGAACTGGATATGTGCGGATTTTATGCAAGGAACACGAATGATCAACATGAATAAATCGATAAAAAGTGTGTGAAAAATAACTTGACACTGTCACTGAACTCAACCATGGCTTTCTATTTCCAATCCAGTGGAATCATTGGAAGTGATGGCTTTTTGTTGCCAACTCTTGAAATGATGAAAAATATGTCAATGCACATGGGGGTATGTAATGTTAACATTTTTTATTGTAAGACTATTTATTCATACTGCCTATGTCTCATATATATGAAGTATAGTGAAATGTCAATACAACACAGTGAGATAGTGTTCCATTTTGTGTATGTGCTATTATCCCCTCTTGAAGCGAGATTCTGACCCAGAACAAACATGTCTCAGAATCTAGCTTTGTCACATCAATATATTTTGACTAATATATGAAGTAGCTGAATATTATACATTGTATCATTGACTTGACTAAAGAAATATATGATGGGAAAAACCTAATCACATGTACAGGGTTAAAATTAGCATTCATGAATTAAAAAAAAATATAGCTAAATGCTGTTTTCAGGTACTTTCTGTATGTTCAAAATGTTGGCTGTGGGGATTTCTCATAAATGGTGTGTAATTAACAGCGATATTAATCAAATATGTTATTGGATTTTTTTGGGGGATGAAAATCATTTATGAAATAAAACAATTATTTGAAGAACAGCTTCTCACCTCTAGTAGATGAAAATACAGATACACCTAGCTCTATAAATCCCAAAAATCCAAAACAAAAACAAATTGATTATGTATCCAAACTGAAAATTATATGCATAAACTGCCAGTCAATAGTCAACAAAAAACATGAATTTCAAAATTTATTAATAGATCAAAACCCAGATATTGTTACAGCCACAGAGTCATGGCTAAATAAAGAACACTATAACAGTGAAATTTTCCCACCTGAACTCGGCTACACAGTTTTTCGCCGTGACAGACTCAAAGGTAAGGGCGGTGGAGTGTTTATCCTTGTTAAAAACAACCTCCTACCAAGTGAACAACCAAAACTGAACACCGATTGTGAAATAATATGGATAAAAATAGAAATCAAAGGTAGTAAGTCACTCTTTCTGGCATCTTATTACAAACCACACGAACTTGATATGAATAGTATCTTAGAATTTGAAAAATCCCTTGAACTTGTGCGTAACTTAAAAGGTACAAAGTTAATCCTTGGCGATTTTAACCTCCCAAAATTAAATTGGGACTCTGAACATACACCATATCTTAAAGAAGGCTTAAACACAAGTCCTGTGTATGATAAATTCCTGAACATCATTGATGATCATAACCTCGTACAAATGGTCAATGAAAGTACACGAAATGACAATATTCTTGATCTATTGCTCATTTCAAACCACACTCTTGTTAACAATGTCAAGGTCATACCTGGCATATCAGATCATGACATCATATCCACAGAAATATCTTCTAGGCCTACCCTCCTCAAACAAAAACCTCGTACTTGCACCTTGTATAAAAAGGCAAAATGGACTGAGTTGAAAACCTTCATTAAAACCTCAACATCTGAAATACTTCAAAAAGCTGAATCTTTGTCTGTTGAAGAACTTTGGTCGCAGTTCAAACACACACTTGAGGATGGCATATCAAAATTCATACCCACTAAAAGAATTACAGCTAAACCATCTTTGCCCTGGATAACAAAATCCATTAAAAAATTAATTCATAAAAGAGATCAGCTCTATAAAAATATTAAAAAACCAAAAACAAATAAAAATAAATCTGATCATGATCAATGGCTAAAATTTAAAAATTTGAAATCGCAAATAAAAGCTAGAATTAAACAATCATATGAATCTTACTTAGAAAACATCCTGAACCTTGCAGATGATGATGATGAAACTAATACACAAAGTAAAGTTTGTACCAAAAAACTATACTCACTTATAAAAAACTCTAAACAAGATTCACAAAGTGTGTCTCCATTAAAAGATCAAAAGTCAGGTTCTCTCAAAATTAATAACACTGAAAAAGCAAACATTCTTAACAAACAATTTCAATCAGTTTTCTCACCAATTATACCACTCACACTTAAAGATCAATGTATACAAAAACTGAGACTCATGGATCCCAGAAAGTATTGTCAGTACCCACAAATGAATGACATCATCATCGGTAGGGCAGGTGTACTAAAGCTCCTCGCCAACCTCAATGCCAACAAAGCTGCCGGCCCTGACAACATTAGACCGATTGTCCTGAAGGAGCTGAGAGAAGAGATTGCTGACATCGTTGCAGTTCTTTTCCAAAAATCCCTGACCACCGGTAATATTCCCAATGACTGGACCCGTGCAAACGTATGCCCTGTCTACAAAAAAGGTGATACAAGTGATCCAGCAAACTATCGCCCAATTTCCCTTACATGCATCCTCTGTAAAACACTCGAACATATAGTTGCCTCTCAACTATCCTCTCACTTTACCACCCACAACATACTCTTTGATCTTCAGCATGGATTCAGAGAAAGACGATCATGTGAGACACAACTCATTGAACTTACTGATTACTTTGTGAACAACCTTTCAAATGGCAAACAAACAGATCTTATACTTCTTGACTTCTCCAAAGCTTTCGATAAAGTAAACCATCTTAAACTCTTAGATACCCTGCAAGAACATGGTGTTTGTCCTCAAATTCTAAACTGGATACAGTCATTCCTTATTCATTATTGGCCGTAGACAGACAGTAGTTGTGGATAGTGACTGCTCATCTGAAGTCCCAGTTACCTCTGGAGTGCCCCAAGGCTCGGTCCTAGGGCCCCTCTGTTTCCTTCTATATATCAACAAGTTACCATCTTCTGTCCTCAAATCCCAAGTCAGATTATTTGCAGACGACACTGCTGTATACCTAACCATCAATTCCTCCTCAGACCCCCCAACTCTCCAACATGATCTAGACAATATGGTTCTGTGGGAGAAGCAGTGGGACATGGAGTTTAACCCTTCAAAATGCCAAGTCATCCATATCACCAAAAATAAGACCATAATTAAACACAAATATATGCTCCATGGCCAAATCCTAGAGTCTGTTACAAATGCTAAATATCTCGGACTAGATCTATCTGCTGACCTTAAATTTAATACACATATATCTCGAATAACTTCCAATGCAAACAGATCCCTTGGCTTTATTAAAAGAAATGTCATCACTAAAAATGAGAAAGTAAAAGAACTAGCATACAAGTCCCTGGTCCGCCCACAGGTTGAATATGCCTCATCTATTTGGTCTCCTTATACTAAAACCAATATTGACAAAGTTGAGATGATCCAGAGACGTGCAATAAGATGGGTTAAAAGGGATTACTCCCCTCACTCTAGTGTCACAGCCATGCAGGAAGAACTGGGCTGGCGATCCCTTGAACATCGCAGACTGGACTGTAGACTGATAATGTTTTATAAGATATACCATAACCTAGTTGCAATTAATCTCCCAACTTATGTTCAAACCCCACATAGATTAACCAGACATATGCATCCCTTATCCCTACGTCAAATACAGGTATCCTCCGACTACCATTAAGTACTCTTTCTTCCCTCATAGCATTATACTATGGAATAAACTTCCTAGTAACATTGCCACCCTGCCCAACCTGAGTCAGTTCAAACAGGCAGTGGTGGGTTTGCAGTACTAGTCTTACTCCCAGTGTTTTTAAACTATTTTATCTCTTATCATCTTGTTTCACTATTAACATTTTAACCATGACTAGAATACATTTTCAGTCTCACCTTCCAAGCATGTCAATGTTTGGACTTTTCTTTTTAGCTTTTCTCTTCACCTTTTACTAACAATCCGACGTGCACTAAATTCCTGCCTTTAACACTCGTAAGAGGGGTTGGCATTATCCAGAGATAGATAGATAGATAGATAGAAAAAAATGATTATATTAATATCACCATACAAAAAAATCCATGCAAAAATACATATCAATAACACATTTAAGTAGAAATTATCTCTATTTATTATGGCAGGTCGGGGGGGTATTTTTTGTCTCAGGGCAGATGCAACTAGGTCTCTTTTAAATTTTTTGTAAATTTAGACTTTAATTTAAAAAAAAATAATTTTGGAAAAAATAGTTTCTAACACATCAAGATTTTCAATCTTAAATGGCTAAATAAAAAGAAAAATATTTAATAGATGCAAATATCACATAGTACACTGCATTAAGGTGTAATTCCATATAGTACCTGATAATAGCTTATTTATAAAAGGTCAATAATACCAAATCATATGAATCATCATCCAATTCATTGCCTTTAAGTATTATGAATGGCCAGCCCCAATAAATGACCCAACTGAATGACCATTTCTGGGAAAGATCTCACATGCGTGATCTACATGTAGGGTCTTCATGGCCCTCTTGTTTGCTTTATGTTACAAGAAACTTACTATTGTTGTTATTTCATTACAGCTATAGATTCATTCAAACTATCAGTATTAATTCACTTTTTTTTTAATGTGATAACTGTTGAACTTATTATTGGACACTATAAGTGTAAAGTTTGTTAAAGCTGCAAATCTGTAGATGAGCTTACCAATTTTCCAATAATTGAACTACGATAAATAATTAATAGTTAAAGCTATGTATGAAGTACTTCGGCTATGAAATATCACAAACCAGTTGAAACAAGCAGTTATCATAGTATTGCAAGAAATCCATAAGTCCCCTACTGGTTAGAACCCCAGCAACATTCTGATGGGCCATTGGCCATTCAATTTTACCAGTGAATGAATGACATGAATGAACTTAAATCTTTTGAGTTTTAAGTTTGTCTATATCACAGTAATGTGTTAAGTTTCCCTGCCTAGTAAGGAAATTATGTTTATACAACCTTGTTATATTCTTACGATGTGGGATTTTAAAGTAAATCCTATAAGGAATGAAGACGTTGGAGTGAAAAATACCAATTTCTCGAAAAAAATCTAAGTTCAAGGGGGACATAATTCTGGAAATAGTCTTGCTAGAGTATTTATCCTTCTCAAAAATGTTGAGTGATAATAAGAAACATATATATATGAAGTTTGAAGTAGATACATTAGGAAATAAAGAAGTTATTTAAAAAAAGACATTTTTTTTTCATAAAAATTCTAAGTTCAAGGGAGGTAATACTGATAATTTTTGTGCTAGAGTTGTAAACCTTGACACATATGATGTGGTT